CTGGGTGTATTGATACACCATCCAAAGTGTCATTAATAACTTCACCATGCTCAAAGTGATATTCAGTGTCTGCTTTAAAATGTTGTACCCATCTACCAATAGGTGCCCTTCTTTGCGAGGCATTGGAAAACCACCCTGGTCTTTGTGGTTGAACCGGTGTTTGAAATTCACTGCTCGACTGAGGGGCCTTACAGATAATCATATGTGTGGGGTGCAGAGATGAGGTAGTCATTCAAAAATCATGTTAAACACTATTATTGCACACAGAGTGAGTCCATGCAACTTATGCGTTTTAAGAAAATGTTTACTCCTGAACTTATTTAGGCTTGCCATAACTAAGGGGTTGAATACTAATTGAGTCAAGACATTTCAGCTTTTAATTTGTACAAAAATTTAAAAACATCTTGACATTATGGAGTATTGTGTGTAGGCCACAAGGCCTACATTGGTTAACAAATGGTGAGTGATGCGAAATCTCTACGATGGCAGTAGGGTTCACTGACCTGTAGCGGCCGTTGACTAAGCTGTATTGCTTGTTTGGGTAATTCTCCAACTAGCTTGGTTTCAATGTGACTCGGCTAACATAAAAACTGTATCCTATTGAAGAACGGGGCTGATACTGCAGAAGCCGTGACGTCATAGATCCATATATTCCTCTTTATGTCACCGGCTGCAGTAGGAGACAATAGATACGGTACAAAGAAAGAGAAAAAGAGAGGAGGATGATGATGAATAAACAATACGTCATCAAGACGTAATTGTTTTTTTCTTTAACAGAATAAGCTCCCTTGCATACTGTAAGTAAGAGTTTAGAATCTCTTCATAAACATGACATTATCGTGACTTCTTTCCATCCGAGCTTTCAGACACCCACACACCAACCCAGATTCATGTGTACCACCTACACAGTGGCAACATCCTAACCTCCTATAAACACCTGGGAAACACTGTTACACAATACTAATAATATCACATTATATATTAGAGAACAGCCACAGACCCTCATGACCCTGGCTCTGCCATCACTAGTCACAAAGCCTATTGCTGCTGGTCTAATCTCTTGTTTTAGAGCAGGAGAGATACAGAATAGACAGTATTTACCTCATTTAGAATTTCTTCATGTATACACAAAGCAGGAATAATATAAATTCCAGGCCATTGCTTTTTGTGGACATAAAGGGCCTTCCCCAAACTGTTGCCACAAAGTTGGAAGCACAGAATCGTCTAGAATGTCATTGTATACTGTATAGTTAACATTTCCCTTCACTGAAACTAACGGGCCTAGCCCGAACCATGAAAAAGAGCCTCAGGCCATTATTCCTCCTCCACTAAACTTTACAGTAGGCACTATGCATTCGGGCAGGTAGCGTTCTGGCATCCGCCAAACCCAGATTCGTCCGTCGGACTGCCAGATGGAGTCTGATTCATCATTCCAGAAAACGCATTTCCACTGCTCCAGAGTCCAATGGCGGCGAGCTTTACACCACTATAGCCGACTCTTGGCATTGTGCATGGTGATCTTAGGCTGCTCAGCAATGGAACCCATTTCATTAAGCTTCTGACGAACAGTTATTGTGCTGACGTTGCTTCCAGAGGCAGTTTGGAACTCGGTAGTGAATGTTGCAACCGAGGACAGATGATGTTTACACACTACACGCTTCAGCACTCGGTGGTCCCGTTCTGTGAGCTTGTATTGCCTACCACTTCGCGGCTGAGCCGTTGTTGCTCCTAGACGTTTCCACTTCACAATAACATCACTTACAGTTGACCGGGGCAGCTCTAGCAGGGCAGAAATTTGACAAACGTACTTTTTGGAAAGGTGGCATCCTATGACGGTGCCACGTTTAAAGTCACTGAGCTCTTCAGTAAGGCCATTCTACTGCCAATGTTTGTCTATGGAGATTGCATGGCTGTGTGCTCAATTTTATACACCTGTCAGAAACGGGTGTGGCTGAAATAACCTAATACACTAATTTGAAGGGGGTGTCCACATACTTCTGTATATATAGTGTATATGTTGTAGAAAATATTTCTTACCATGATTTCAGTATTGATCAATTCTTGAAATCAGGGACATGCTATTGGATAATGCATGATGACATATTCTCACACACTCTTCTTCAAGAATTCAGTCAGTCAGAGAGGTGACAAGAGAAAAGACTACAGTAAATCTTTAAATTACTTTAGAGTTTATTCAAAGAGAAAAGACCTTCAGGAAAATACAAGACTTCCTGGCATACACAGAGAGCACATAAATTAGAGTAGCATGGCAGAAACACTGGAGAAAAACATCCAAGCCTGACTGACATCCAAGCCTGACTGACATCCAAGCCTGACTGACATCCAAGCCTGACTGACACCCAAGCCTGACTGACACCCAAGCCTGACTGACACCCAAGCCTGACTGACACCCAAGCCTGCAGGGAAAGGACTGCATGTCACTACAATGTCCCCACAACGCTGGGACGGCATTATGGGATCATCTGGAAAATCAAACATTGCATGAGTATTCTTTATTGTGTTTTGAGTTGTTTATTTGAGAAAAACAAAAGTAAAATGGCATCATTTAGGATTATTGACGAAAATAATGTTCAATATAAAACAAGCTAAAAATAAAACAAATTATAAAACAAATATCATGATACACATTAGTGTAACAAAACATTGCCTCTGTAAACATTGCCATTTTCTCAACCTAACATGAGCGTTATAATATTCAACCACTGCAGAGTACATCAACTATTGTTAAGCTTCTTAACTAAGTCTAAAACGTAATGCTTCAAGTGAGATCTTAAAAATGTATTTTCAACATAGTGGTTTCGTCATTTCTTTTACACTTCTAATGTTGCCATCTTTGCACTTGTTTAAAATATAAAATCAGCAAGCGACTGCTTTTCAGATTGCAAAGAAATTGTTGTCCGTTTTTCCATTAATAAGAATATCAATAACCATAATCTTAATAAACTCACTTATGCCACTCATGAAGGCCTTGATATAACCAGAAATACATAGTGGGTCAGCACTGAGGGGGTGGGGGGGGGGGGGGTATTGAATGGTCTTCAGATGTACAGAAGTATAGACTACACCCTTTAACAGTGAACAAAAAAAGTATTCTGCCCAAAGTGGGTTTCTGTGGTGAACACCTTCAGAGAGCTGTAGAATCAGAGGTCACCCATGCTCTGGATCCTGATGACCAGTTTGCTCTCCTCTGATTTGAAACAACTGTTGTTTTGATTTGCCTTCCATTGACAAGCTGACACATCACACGAGAAGGACAAGAAGTAGAGCTCAAGAAGTCTTTATTGAGCCTGGCAATGTTAAACACTGAGGTCTAAGCCCTGTTAGTGAATAAGGTTGATTAAATTACTGTGAGCATACTGGCCCCACAGGAAACTACTGTAGCCTAGCAACGTCTCAACCTAGAGCTATTAACGCTCCAGCTCCGATTCACTTTAAAACATTGAGTTTGTGAAAGGACAGTCACAACCTAGTCTCAGAAACGATTCGGAATTGCCCCCAAAATCGACATTTTCCTTAGAGCCTTCATCGTTTAGTATTCACTTGTGTCAACTTGAAATTGAACATAAAATTGATCACTTGTGATAAGGAACTAAATTAAAATGCTCATGCCTTTAACCACAACAGTATATTTCTTTCTACATTCTTGACACTTAGTGCATTGCATTCATAAAAAGATACAAATGAAAAACAACAATAAAACACCAATGTTTTTTCCATCCACTGACTATGCGCCCATTGAGTTTTGCTGACCATGTGTAACCTTTCTGCTACAAGAACTTACATTGGCACCCCTCCTCTCTCACCTATTGGCCCCTTTACAACCACACACACATACTGTATATGACCTGAACCTTCTCCTCCTAACTCTTTTATTATATCTGTCTATTCACATCAGGACCATGTCCTCCTTCCTGGACTCTGATGGTCCAAGCCGGATCACAGCGTCATGTTGGACTGAGGATTCCACTAACATGACCATTGAAACTATGTATGATATTAAATTAACTTTTATTATACATAGATACTATTTTTTTATCCAACCCATCCACTCTCTGACTCCTAAAGCATTTTAATGTGTTGTGGGTTGGAATAAATGCTAAAGAAAACTGGAGGCTATGTGCATTGTGATTTTTAAAACCAAGGTAAAAGAAATATGAACTCCACATAGTTACACTTTTTTTAGGGAATCATAATAAAATAAAAAATACTATTCTGAAGTCCTTTTCCTTGAACTCACCCATTAAAATACGGTAGCTGTCCTAACTATCAACACACTCCAGCTGAGTCCTCTCAGATACCAGATTTATGGTAAAATGGATAGGCCCTTCCCACACACTGTCGTCAAGACAGCACTGAGCCTAGAACCAATTGGCTCCCTTGCTAGGCTTCTTTATTCCCGCCTCCTTGACTGACAGCTTCAACCCCCCCCCCCCCCCCCCCCCCCACCGCAGTCAGCAATCATTGGACTAAACAGAAAGACATTGACATACACTACTGTAGCATTAACACTGTACGCTCCACCCCCTGCCCCTCCCTCGCTAAGAAAAGGGGTGGGGAGAAGGGGGCTCCTGAAATACGAGCAGAAGATGCAGAGAGTAGTTAGTAGTAGACTTCAAGCCCATAGCACAGTCAGGAACTAGGAACGACACACACACACAGGTCACACGCCGTCAGGGCAACGGCCCCGCACAGACGTGTGTCCACAATCGGTTGAGCACCAAAGTGGGGCAAACTGTTCCCCCCCTTTTTTCACATTTTTTTCTTTGTTTTAAAATCAATTAACTTCATTTTTTACAATTCTCATATCTGGTAATCATGGCTGGGGCGACGTCATCTGGATGTTGTGTATCCTCAATATAGCACGATGCTCCAGGTCGAAGGTCGTAACTATGTCGGAGGTGGTTGGCTTTTGTTCGTTGGCATCGCTGAACGTTGGGTAAAACGTGGTTGGTTTCCAGTGTAGAGGGGGCGTGGTCTCTCTACCAGCTGAGCAGAGAGGTGCGCCCCAGGGTCATAAAGTACACCTGGCTGGCTCCTCCGGATCGCACCGAGGCAAAGAAGACCTGCGGATGGGAACACACACACACACACTTCAGTCAATAACGAAACAAATCAGTGACATCAGTAATGACCTTAGTAGTCACTGTTTTACAGCCTGTGTTCGTAATGGTTGCTCAGTGAAACAACCTGTCCTGATTTGTCATAGACGCTTGCTAAAAAACTTGAATGAGCAAGCCTTCCTTCATGACCTGGCCTCTGTAAATTGGTATAGAATCAGCTTGATCCCCTCTGTCGAAGATGCTTGGACCTTCTTTTTTGATATTTTCAGTGGTATTGTTAACAAACACACCCCATAAAGAAAATGAGAATTAAAATCAGGTTCAGCCCCTGGTTCGTCCGTGATCTGGAAGAGTTACTCCACCTCAAGAATTCCATTTGGAGAAAGGCTCTGCATTTACATTTACGTCATTTAGCAGACGCTCTTATCCAGAGCGACTTACAAATAGCACACACATACTCAGGCTGACTGGCTGACTGGCTCTCGTTCAGGCAAATTAGAAATAAGTGCACTCAGGCTATCTGGAAGGCCAAAGTTAGTTACTTTAAGGAGCAGTTCTCTCTCTGTGGGTCTAACCCCAAGAAGTTCTGGAAAATGGTTAAAGACCTGGAGTATAAACCCTCCTCCTCACAGCTGCCCATGTCCCTTAATGTTGATGATGTGGTTGTTACTGACAAGGAGCACATGGCTGAGCTCTTTAATCACTACTTCATAAAGTCAGGATTCCTATTTGACTCAGAACCATGCCTCATTGCCCATCCAACATTTCCTCATCTCCCACCCCTTCTAATGCGACTAGCCCAGATGCTCCTCCCTCTTTTTCCCCTGCCCCGCTACAAAGTTTCTCCCTGCAGGCAGTCACTGAGTCTGAGGTGCTATAGGAGCTCCTTAAACTTGACCCCAAAAAAACATCTGGGTCAGATCATTTCTTCTTTAAGGTTGCAGCCACTATCATCACCAAGCCTACCTCTGACCTTTTTAACCCGTCTCTCCTCTCTGGAAGAAGGTTCCCATTGCTTGGAAGGCAGCCACAATGCGTACTTTATTTAAAGGGGGAGATCAAGCTGATCCTAACTGTTATAGGCCAATTTCTATTTTGCCCTGTTTATCAAAAGTGTTGGAAAAACTTGTCAATAATCAACTGACTGGCTTTCTTGATGTCTATAGTATTCTCTCTGGTATGCAATCTGGTTTCCGCTCAAGTTATGGATGTGTCACTGCAACCTTAAAGGTCCTAAATGATGTCACCATTGCCCTTGATTTAAGCAATGTTGTGCTGCTATTTTGATTCACTTGGCCAAAGCTTTTGATACGGTAGACCATTCCATTCTTGTGGGCCGGCTAAGGATTATTGGTGTCTCTGAGGGGTCTTTGGCCTGGTTTGCTAACTACCTCTCTCAAAGTGCAGTGTATAAAGTCAGAACATCTGCCGTCTCAGCCACTGCCTGTCATCAAGGGAGTACCCCAAGGCTCCATCCTAGGCCCCACGCGCTTCTCAATTTACATCAACAACATAGCTCAGGCAGTAGGAAGCTCTCTCATCCATTTATATGCAGATGATACAGTCTTATACTCAGCTGGCCCCTCCCCGGATTTTGTGTTAAATGCTCTACAACAAAGCTTTCGTAGTGTCCAACAAGCTTTTTCTGCCCTTAACCTTGTTCTGAACATCTCCAAAACAAAGGTCATGTGGTTTGGTAAGAAGAATGCCCCTCTCCCCACCGGTGTGATTACTACCTCTGAGGGTTTAGAGCTTGAGGTAGTCACCTCATACAAGTACTTGGGAGTATGGCTAGACGGTACACTGTCCTTCTCTCAGCACATATCAAAGCTGCAGGCTAAGGTTAAATCTAGACTTGGTTTCCTCTATCGTAATCGCTCCTCTTTCACCCCAGTTGCCAAACTAACCCTGATTCAGATGACCATCCTACCCATGCTAGATTACGGAGAAGTAATTTATAGATTGGCAGGTAAGGGTGCTCTCGAGCAGCTAGATGTTCTTTACCATTCGGCCATCAGATTTGCCACCAATGCTCCTTATAGGACACATCACTGCACTCTATACTCCTCTGTAAACTGGTCATCTCACCATCGCAAGACCCACTGGTTGATGCTTATTTATAAAACCCTCTAAGGCCTCACTCCCCCCTATCTGAGATACCTACTGCAGCCCTCATCCTCCACATACAACACCTGTTCTGCCAGTCACATTCTGTTAAAGGTCCCCAAAGCACACACATCCCTGGGTCGCTCTTCTTTTCAGTTTGCTGCAGCTAGCGACTGGAACGAGCTGCAAAAAACACTCAAACTGGACAGTTTTATTTCCATCTCTTCATTCAAAGACTCAATCATGGACACTCTTACTGACAGTTGCGGTTGCTTTGCGTGATGTATTCTTGCCTTCTTGTGCTGTTGTCTGCGGCCAATATTGTTTGTACCATGTTTTGTGCTGCTACCATGTTGTTGTCATGTGGTGTTGCTACAATGCTGTGTTGTCATGTGTTGCTGCCATGCTATGTTGTTGTCTTAGGTCTCTCTTTATGTAGTGGTGTCTCTCTTGTTGTGATGTGTGTTTTGTCCTATATTTGTATTTTTAATCCCCCGTCCCCACAGGAGGCCTTTTGCATTTTGGTAGGCCGTCATTGTAAATAAGAATTTGTTCTTAACTGACTTGCCTAGTTAAATGGTTAAATAAAAATAAATAAACATCCTTGGTTAGTTACCACAGCCACAAAATCACAACTTCCAGACTTGTCTCTGTGCTGCTGTGCTATTTAAAAAAAAATTTTTTAGGGGGTAGATCAGCTTAATATTGCAGATAGATTGTAACTTCCATCAATGTAATTGTCTGCATCACTTCCCCCATGTTTTTATTTATATATATATATATATATATATATATATATATATATATATATATATATATATATATATATATATATATATACACACACACATCCACACACATACATACATACACATCCTTTTTTAAAATATATTCCCCCTTATTACTTTCCAACCCCACCACCCTTTCCCTAATTGGAGTAAACTAGTGAACAACAATGCTTAGGCCTCTACTTCCAGCTTATACTTACTATATACATTTTATCGACATAAAAATAATTATATATATATTTTTTTTTTCTCCTGAACTTCTTCTACTCTCAACCTCTCCGATTATTTTCATGATGTCCATCTGGTTTGCTTCTATATGCCATATCTTTCTAACTGTGCTCTTTCACCAAAGCTCCCAACCTACAACCTATATACTTATTATGGACACAGTATGCTTACATTATTAGTTATCTTAGTTATACTGTGCTATTTGTTGCTACTTGGCTACCTGCCAAACTTTTCGGTTTTTACTTTAAATAACCGTTTAATCAAAATCTGCATTTAACACATCTACCAACGTCTTAGTTCATTTCCTCGCTCTACTTTTTCCATTCAACTTTCTCAGCCCGGACGCTTTATCTAGACATGGTTCTAAAGGACCGCCACCAGCCGAAAAAGCTAAGTAGTAACATTAACACTACGCCTAATTGCAGTCACTGTACTCATAATATACAGGAAAACTGTTGCCTTATGGTGAGGATAGCTGTGTTGCAAGCCCAGCTTCAGATGCAATCATTAGGCAATGGCAATGTAAGTGTAGGAAAGGATGAAACAGCGTCTATGCCACCAGTAAGTACAGATAGTAGTATACATCCCCCCACACGGTCCCCGCAGCCGGACAATTTTCTCAAGGGTTCTGGAAAGAAATGCTCTCGGCATGCTCAACCGGTGTCGCTCATTCAGCCGACAGAAACTTTCAACCGGTTCTCCCCATTAAGCAACGAGTCAGAGTCAGAGGCCGAGCCTTCTCAGGTCTCTCCTCCACCCATTACGGGGTCTGAGCCTCCGAAGCCTCCCACTATTAGCTCTGACAAATTGAAAACCCTAGTCATTGGCGACTCCATTACGCGCAATATTAGACTTAAAAAGAATCATCCTGCGATCATACACTGTTTACCAAGGGGGAGAGCTACCGACATAAAGGCTAATCTGAAGAGGGTGCTGGCTAAGGCTAAAACTGGCGAGCGTAGAGAGTATAGGGATATTGTTATCCACGTCGGCACCAACGATGTTAGGATGAAATAGTCAGAGGTCACCAAGCACAACATAGCTTCAGCGTGTAAATTAGCTTGAGCTCTACAGCAGTCTCACAACTCAATCGCTGATTGAAAACTGTTTTCTGCCCTTTCCAAAAGATAGAATTTGTAGATAATTAGCCCTCTTTCTGGGACTCACCCACAAACAGGACCAAGCCGGGCCTGTTGAGGAGTGACGGACTCCATCCTAGCTGGAGGGGTGCTCTCATCTTATCAACATAGACAAGGCTGTAACTCCTCTAGCTCCACAATGAGATAGGGTGCAGGCCAGGCAGCAGGCTATTAGCCAGCCTGCCAGCTTAGTGGAGTCTGCCACTAGCACAGTCAGTATAGTCAGCTCAGCTATCCCCATTGAGACGGTGTCTGTGCCTCGATCTAAGTTGGGCAAAACTAAACATGGCAGTGTTTGCCTTAGCAATCTCACTGGAATAAAGACCTCTTCCATTCCTGTCATTATTGAAAGAGATTGTGATCTCTCACATTTCAGAATAGGGCTGCTTAATGTTAGATCCCTCACTTCCAAGGCAGTCATAGTCAATGAACTAATCACTGATCATAATCTTGATGTGACTGGCCTGGCTGAAACATGGCTCAAGCTTGATGAATTTACTGTGTTAAATGAGGCCTCTCCTCCTGGTTACACTAGTGACCATAACCCCCGCGCATCCCGCAAAGGCAGGGGTGTTGCTAACATTTACGACAGCAAATTTCAATTTACCCCCCCCCCCCCCCCCAATAAATTATTACTGCGGTTTCGTCTTTTGAGCTTCTAGTCATGAAATCTATGAAACCTACTCAATCACTTTTTATAGCTACTGTTTACAGGCCTCCTGGGCCATATACAGCGTTCCTCACAGAGTTCCCTGAATTCCTATCGGACCTTGTAGTCATGGCAGATAATATTCTAATGTTTGGTGACTTAACATGGAAAAGTCCACAGACCCACTCCAAAAGGCCATAATCGACTCAGTGGGTTTTGTCCAACATGTCTCCGGACCTACTCATTGCCATAGTCATACCCTGGATCTAGTTTTGTCCCGTGGAATAAATATTGTGGATCTAAATGTTTTTCCTCATAATCCTGGACTATCGGACCACCATCTTATTATGTTTGCAATCACAACAAATAATCTGATCAGACCCCAACCAAGGATCATCTAAAGCCGTGCTATAAATTCTCGGACAACCCAAAGATTCCTAGATGCCCTTCCAGACTCCCTCCACCTACCCAAGGACGTCAGAGTACAAAAATTGGTTAACCACCTAACTGAGGATCTAAATTTAACCTTGCGTAATACCCTATATGCAGTCACACCCCTAAAAACAAAAAAACATTTGTCACAAGAAATTAGCTCCCTGGTATACAGAAAATACCCGAGCCCTGAAGCAAGCTTCCAGAAAATTGGAACGGAAATGGTGCTCCACCAAACAGGAAGTCATCCGACTAGCTTGGAAAGACAGTACCGTGAAATATCGAAGAGCCCTCACTGTTGCTCAATCATCCTATTTTTCCAACCTAATTGAGGAGAATAAGAACAATCCAACATTTATTTTTCATACTGTTGCAAAGCTAACTAAAAACCTGCATTCCTCAAGAGAGGATGGCTTTCAGCAGTGATGAATTCATGAACTTCTTTGTCGAACAGATCATGATCCAGGCTCTGTCGCAGCCGGCCGTGACCGGGAGACTCATGGGCGGCGCACAATTGGCCCAGCGTCGTCCAGGGTAGGGGAGGGAATGGCCGGCAGGGATGTAGCTCAGTTGATAGAGCATGGCGTTTGCAACGCCAGGGTTGTGGGTTCGATTCCCAAGGGGGCCAGTATATTAAAAAAAATAAAAAAAAATAAAAATATATATATAAATATGTAATCACTAACTGTAAGTCGCTCTGGATAAGAGCGTCTGCTAAATGACTAAAATGTAAAATGTAAATGTAATCATTAGAAAGCTAATTACGGTCTCCACTTTGAATCTGCGTATTTCTCCAAAGCTCAGTTGTCCTGAACTGCCAGGACCTTGGATCAATGGAGACACTCAAGTTTTTTTGATCCTGTATCTCTTGACACATTCATGAAAATAGTCATGGCCTCTAAACCTTCAAGCTGCATACTGGACCCTATTCCAACTAAACTACTGAAAGAGCTACTTCCTGTGATTGGTCCTCCTATGTTGAACATAATAAATGGCTCCCTATCCTTTGGATGTGTACCAAATTCACTATAAGTGGCAGTATTAAAGCCTCTCTTGAAAAAGCCAAACCTTGACAGGGAAAATGTAAAAAACAAAAAATCTGCCTATATCGAATCTCCCATTCCTCTCAAACATTTTAGAAAAAGCTGTTGCGCAGCAACTCACTGCCTTCCTGAGGACAAATAATGTATACGAAACACTGCAGTCTGGTTTTAGACCCCATCATAGCACTGAGACTGCACTCGTGAAGGTGGTAAATTACATTTTCATGAAGTCAGACCAAGGCTCTGCATCTGTCCTCGTGCTCCTAGGCCTTAGTGCTGTTTTTGACACCATCAATCCCCACATTAGTTTGGAGAGATTGGAAACCCAAATTGGTCTACACGGACAAGTTCTTGACTGGTTTAGATCTTATCCATCGGAAAGATATTAGTTTGTCTCTGTGGATGGTTTGTCCTCTGACAAATCAATTGTACGTTTCGGTGTTCCTCAAGGTTCCGTTTTATGACCACTGTTTTCGCTATATATTCTACCTCTTGGTGATGTCATTCGGAAACACAATTTCAACTTTATATTTCAAGGACAGCTTTTTTCCATCTTCGTAACATTGCAAAAATAAGAATTATGCAGAAAAGCTAATCCATGCTTTTGTCACTTCTATATTAGACTACTGCAATGCTCTACTCTCCGGCTACCCGGATAAAGCACTAAATAAACTTCAGTTAGTGCTAAACACGGCTGCTAGAATCTTGACTAGAACCAAAAAATGTGATCATATTACTCCAGTGCTAGCCTCTCTACACTGGCTTCCTGTTAAGGCTAGGGCTGATTTCAAGGTTTTACTGCTAACCTACAAGGCATTACATGGGCTTGCTCCTACCTATCTCTCCGATTTGGTCCTGCTGTACATACCTATACGTACGCTACGGTTACAAGACGCAGGCCTCCTTATTGTCCCAGAATTTTTAAGCAAACAGCTGGAGGCAGGGCTTTCTCCTATAGAGCTCAATTTTCATGGAATGGTCTGCCTATCCATGTGAGAGAGACAGAGTCGGTCTCGACCTTTAAGTCTTTACTGAAGACTCATCTCTTCAGTAGGTCCTATGATTGAGTGTAGTCTGGCCCAGGGGTGCGAAGGTGAACGGCAATGCACTGGGATTCTTTGCCTCTGACCCTATTACGGAGGCTGAGTCACTGGCTTACTAGTGGGGTGCGTCACTTGAGTGGGCTGAGTCATTGACGTGATCTTCCTGTCCGGTTTTGTGCCCCCTCTGGCTCGTGCGGTGGCGGAGATCTTCATGGGCTATACTCAGCCTTGTCTCGGGTAGTAAGTTGGTGGTCAATTGATATCCCACTAGTGGTGTGGGAGCTGTGCTTTGGCAAGGTGGGTGGGGTCGGGGGATAGGACCTGGTTGGCCCTATCCCCCGACCCCCCAGTCTCAGCCTCCCGTATCTATGCTGCAATAGTCTATGTGCCGGGGGGCTAGGGTCCGTCTGTTATATCTGGTGTAATTCTCCTGTCTTATCTGGTGTCCTGTGTGAATTTAAGTATTCTATCTCTCCCTCTCCCTCCCTCTCTCTCCTCTCCCCCCCAACCCCACCCCCTGCTGCTGGGAAACATCCCCACAGCATGATGCTGCCACCACCATGCTTCACCGTAGAGATGGTATTGGCCAGGTTTCCTCCAGACGTGACGCTTGGCATTCAGGCCAGATAGTTCAATCTTCTTTAGACCAGATAATCTAGTTTATCACGGTCTGAGAGTCCTTTAGGTGCCTTTTGGAAAACTCCAAGCGGGCTTTCATGTGCCTTTTACTGAGGAGTGGCCTCCGTCTGGCCACTACCATAAAAGCCTGATTGGTGGAGTGCTGCAGAGATGGTTGTCCTTCTGGAAGGTTCTCCCATCTCCACAGAGGAACTTTAGAGCTCTGTCAGAGTGACCATCGGGTTCTTGGTCACCTCCCTGACCAAGGCCCTTCTCCCCTGTTTTTGCTTTGTCATTATGGGGTATTGTGTGTAGATTGATGAGGGAAAAAATAAGTGTAATACATTTCAGAATAAGGCTGTAACGTAACAAAATGTGGAAAAAGTGAAAGGGTCTGAATACTTTCCCAGATTCCCAGAAAAACGATATTCCCAGATATAGATACTTAAAATGATTTTGGGACTTTTCAACAAACCAATGAGCGCCTTGGAGTTTTTTCAACTGTACTTTGGCCGGCAGGTGATTTTATTTGGCCCCCAAGTTTTCTGAGCAAAAAAAATATGTATTTTTGTAACACATTTTTTAAAAATTGTTGGACATAAGAAAAAGAATACCAGCAAATCAGCTCCGTGATTTAATTTTTTTGGAAATTGGTTCTAAAGTATTCCCACGCATAATAGAGAGATGTACAGTATGTGATCATATACAAATGTAAGCAAGGTTTGAAATTATTATGTTTTAGTCAAATATGATATCTTATTTGTCATTATGTTCCGGTCCCCTAACCATCCGCTCAAGAAAAAAATTGGCCCGTCGGCTTAATCTATTTAATGATCCCTGCAGTAAACCATATGAAATGGGGAAACTGCGGTCAGACTAGCTCTCTCCACCAGACATCAGCTGCTTCTGCTTTATGGTCGGTCCCACTCCTCTAACATTCTAGCTAGTTCAGCTCTTAGTTGGTGTGTATAACAAAGATCTAACAGCGGCAAAAAGGTTTGTGAACATGAAATCTTATTTTGCTATTCTTAAGGAAGCCAGGGATATAGTAGGTGTATAGCCTCCCTCAGTGTGTTAATCTGCCTACTCCACTAGTCAACGAGGGAGCGTGAAGTCTCAGAAACTAGCATTGATGGCCACTTCAGACTAACTGCTGCCTGTCTAAAAATACCCTGTATTTTAATAGAATGGGAAAACAGTGCTAGGCAGATCGATAGACTCAATAAATGGGGTCCTGAGTCACTGCAGGGTTGCCTGGGACACAGGATGAGTCAGCGCTTTGTGACACACTAGAAGGTGGGAGAGGTCTGAGAGGGACCAACTATCATGGTCCAAACACACCAAGACAGTCGTGAAGAGGGCACGACAACACCTTTTCCCCATCAGGAGACTGAAACAATTTGCCATGGGTCCCCAGATACTCAAAAAGTTATACAGCTGCACCATCGAGAGCATCCTGACCGGTTGCATCACCGCCTGGTATGGCAACTGCTCGACCTCCGACCGCAAGGCGCTACAGAGGGTAGTGCGTATGGCCCAGTACATCACTGGGGCCAAGCTTCCTGCCATCCAGGACCTATATACTAGGTGGAGACAAAGACTCCAGTCACCCAAGTCATAGACTGTTCTCTCTGCTACTGCACGGCAAGCGGTACCGGAGCACCAAGTCTAGGTCCAAAAGGCTCCTTAACAGCTTCTACCCCCAAGCCATAAGACTGCTGAACAATTAATCAAATGGCCACCTGGACTATTTAAATTGATTTTATTTTATTTGGACAGAGTTATTTGTGTAAACAGACCTGGGGAGAGTACCTCCAAGTGTGTATGTACGTGTCCAGGGGTCTCACCTTGTCATTCCTCTCACACAGGAACTTGAGTCTCTGGGCTCTCTTGTGCATGAAGACTCCGTCCAGATGTCCAGTCTCCACAGATCTGATCTCTATGGCTTTCTCCCCCCAGCCCATGATCTGGTTAGAACGGATATAGGCTACAGAGAGAAAGACAAAGAGGGGGATAGGGGTGTGAGTCGGTGGGATGGCAACCGAGTTAACATGCTTAAACACTTCACTTAAGGACCTATTGTGTGTGAGTGTGTATGCGTACATGTGCGTCTGTGTCCACTTACCCACGGAGGTGGGCATCTCGCCCCACTGCAGCACCACGTCCTTGGTGATGCGTCCATAAGTGTTGACATAGACACCCTCGTCCTCGTAACACACCAGCAGCTCAATGCCATCTGTGTTGGGCAGGATGATGATGGCATGGGACTGGATACTGGTCTGGATCTACAGAGGGAGAGGGAGAGAGAGAGGGGGAGAGAGAGAAAGAGGGGGAGAGTGAGAGAGAGTGGGAGGGAGAGAGAGAGAGAAAGAGGGGAAGAGAGAGAGAAAGAGGAAGAGAGAGAGAGAAAGAGGGGGAGAGAGAGAGAGAAAGAGGGGGAGAGAGAGAGAGAAAGAGGGGGAGAGAGAGAGAACGAAGAGGGGGAAGAGAGGAGAGAGGAAGTGGGGGAGAGAGAAGAGAGAGAGAACGAGGGGGAGAGAGAGAGAGAAAGAGGGGGAGAGAGAGAAATTATTCATTCAATAATGAAGTTACAGTGGCTTGTGAAAGTATTCACCCCCCTTGGCATCTTTCCTATTTTGTTGCCTTACAACCTGGAATTTAAATTGATTTTTTTGGGGGTTTGTATCATTTGATTTACACAACATGCCTATCACTTTGAAGCTACAAAATATTTTTTCTTGTGAAAAACAGAAAACTTGAGCGTGCATTGCCCACCCCGGTCCCACCCCCAAAGTGTCTTGGGGTATGTCTCTATAAGCTTGGCACATCTAGCCACTTGGATTTTTGCCCATTCTTCAAGGCAAAACTGCTCCAGCTACTTCAAGTTGGATGGGTTCCGCTGGTGTACAGCAATCTTTAAGTCATACCACAGATTCTCAATTGGATTGAGGTCTGGGCTTTGACTAGGCCATTCCAAGACATTGAACATTTTCCCCTAAAACCACTCAAGTGTTGCATTACATTACATTTACATTTTAGTCATTTAGCAGACGCTCTTATCCAGAGCGACTTACAGTTAGTGAATACATATTTTTTTATACTGGCCCCCCGTGGGAATCGAACCCACAACCCTGGCGTTGCAAACGCCATGCTCTATCAACTGAGCTACATCCCTGCCGGCCATTCCCTCCCCTACCCTGGACGATGCTGGGCCAATTGTGCGCCGCCCATGAGTCTCCCGGTCGCGGCCGGCTGCGACAGAGCCTGGATTCGAACCAGGATCTCTAGTGGCACAGTTAGCACTGCGATGCAGTGCCTTAGACCACTGCGCCACTCAGTATGCTTAGGGTCATTGTCCTGCTGGAAGGTGAACCTCTGTCCCAGTCTCTGGAAGACTGAAACAGGTTTCCCTCAAGAATTTCCCTGTATTTAGCGCCATCCATCATTCCGTCAATTCTGACCAGTTTCCCAGTCCCTGCCCATGAAAAACATCCCCACAGCATGATGCTGCCACCACCATGCTTCACTGTGGGGATGGTGTTCTCGGGGTGTTGAGAGGTGTTTGGTTTGCGCCAGACATAGCGTTTTCCTTGATGGCCAAAAAGCTAAATTCTAGTGTCATCTGACCACAGTACCTTCTTCCATATATTTGGAGAGTCTCCCACATGCCTTTTGGTGAACACCAAACGTGTTTGCTTATTTTTTTCTTTAAGCAATGGCTTTTTTCTGGCCACTCTTACATAAAGCCCAGCTCTGTGGAGTGTACAGCTTAAAGTGGTCCTATGGACAGATACTCCAATCTCCGCTGTGGAACTTTGCTGCTCCTTCAGGGTTATCTTTGGTCTCTTTGTTGCCTCTCTGATTAATGCCCTCCTTGCCTGGTCCGTGAGTTTATGTGGGCGGCCCTCTCTTGGCTGGTTTGTTGTGGTGCCATATTCTTTCAATTTTTTAATCATGGATTTAATGTTGCTCCGTGGGATGTTCAAAGTTTCTGATATTTTTTTATAACCCAACCCTGATCTGTACTTCTCCACAACTTTGTCCCTGACCTGTTTGGAGAGCTACTTGGTCTTCATGGTGCCGCTTGCTTGATGGTGCCCCTTGCTTAGTGGTGTTGCAGACTCTGGGGCCTTTCAGAACAGGTGTATATATTCTGAGATCATGTGACAGATCATGTGACACTTAGATTGCACACAGGTGGACTTTATTTAACTAATTATGTGCCTTCTAACGGTAATTGGTTGCACCAGATCTTATTTAGGGGCTTCATAGCAAAGGGGGTAAATACATAAGAGGGAAAAAAGTATTTGATCCCCTGCTGATTTTGTCCATTTGCCCACTGACAAAGAAATGATCAGTCTATAATTTTAATGGTAGGTTTATTTGAACAGTGAGAGACAGAATAACAACAAAAAAATCCAGAAAAACGCATTTCAAAAATGTTATAAATTGATTAGCATTTTAATGAGGTAACTAAGTATTTGACCCCCTCTCAATCAGAAAGATTTCTGGCTCCCAGGTGTCTTTTATACAGGTAACGAGCTGAGATTAGGAGCACACTCTTAAAGGGAGTGCTCCTAATCTCAGCTTGTTACCTGTATAAATGACACCTGTCCACAGAAGCAATCAATCAATCAGATTCCAAACTCTCCACCATGGCCAAGACCAAAGAGCTCTCCAAGGATGTCAGGGACAAGATTGTAGACCTACACAAGGCTGGAATGGGCTACAAGACCATCGCCAAGCAGCTTGGTGAGAAGGTGACAACAGTTGGTGCGATTATTCGCAAATGGAAGAAACACAAAAGAACTGTCAATCTCCCTCGGCCTGGGGCTCCATGCAAGATCTCACCTCGTGGAGTTGCAATGATCATGAGAACGGTGAGGAATCAGCCCAGAACTACACGGGAGGATCTTGTCAATGATCTCAAGGCAGCTGGGACCATAGTCACCAAGAAAACAATTGACAACACACTACGCCGTGAAGGACTGAAATCCTGCAACGCCCGCAAGGTCCCCCTGCTCAAGAAAGCACATATACAGGGCCGTCTGAAGTTTGCCAATGAACATCTGAATAATTCAGAGGAGAACGGAGTGAAAGTGTTGTGGTCAGATGAGACCAAAATCGAGCTCTTTGGGATCAACTCAACTCGCCTTGTTTGGAGGAGGAGGAATGCTGCCTATGACCCCAAGAACACCATCCCCACCGTCAAACATGGAGGTGGAAACATTATGCTTTGGGAGTGTTTTTCTGCTAAGGGGACAGGACAACTTCACCGCATCAAAGGGACGATGGACGGGGCCATGTACCGTCAAATCTTGGGTGAGAACCTCCTTCCCTCAGCCAGGGCATTGAAAATGGGTCGTGGATGGGTATTCCAGCATGACAATGACCCAAAACACACGGCCAAGGCAACAAAGGAGTGGCTCAAGAAGAAGCACATTAAGGTCCTGGAGTGGCCTAGCCAGTCTCCAGACCTTAATCCCATAGAAAATCTGTGGAGGGAGCTGAAGGTTCGAGTTGACAAATGTCAGCCTCGAAACCTTAATGACTTGGAGAAGATCTGCAAAGAGGAGTGGAACAAAATCCCTCCTGAGATATGTGCAAACCTGGTGGCCAACTACAAGAAACGTCTGACCTCTGTGATTGCCAACAAGGGTTTTGCCACCAACTACTAAGTCATGTTTTGCAGAGGGGTCAAATACTTATTTCCCTCATTAAAATGCAAATCAATTGATAACATTTTCGACATGCGTTTTTTCTGGATTTTTTAGTTGTTATTCTGTCTCTCACTGTTCAACCTACCATTAAAATTATAGACTGATCGTGTCTTTGTCAGTGGGCAAACGTACAAAATCAGCAGGGGATCAAATACTTTTTTCCTTCACTGTATGCACGCACAACTTTTCCGTTATTTATTTTTTAGAATTTTTTGAAACAAGTTATTTTTTTCATTTCACTTCACCAATTTGGACTATTTTGTGTATGTCCATTACATGAAATCCAAATAAAAATAAATTTAAATTACAGGTTGTAATGCAACAAAATAGGAAAACCCCCAAGGGGGATGAATACTGTTGCAAGGCAATGTATGTTTGAAGAAAGAGGGGGGAAGAAGGGGATGAGAGGTTCCAGAGACATGAGTGTGTTTCTTACATGGGTGGGCAGGTAGATGTCGTAGACGGCCCCTGAGTCCACGTCCACGGCATGGAATCCGTTACTGGAGCCATAGATTACCTTTAACCTCTGACCCTCCTCCACCGTCAGGTCAACCAGCAGGGGCTTGTGCACCAGGTCACCAAACGACTGCAGGGGTCAACCAGGGGACAAAGGTTATTCACATACAGTACAGTAATGTGTGCATGTGTGTCTGGGAGTCATTTTATCATTGTCATGACAATTCACAATAGCTGCATAACTGATTGAACAGATGGAAGTGAATAGCTATCATGCATAAGCAGGGGCATCTAAGGTTTCACCTTGAAAGCCATGAACTTATGGTACGGCTTCGGTGCCCATGCATAGACCTCCACCGAGTTCTTCAGGGCCAGAACCAAAAACTTGATCCTCTCGTATTTCACTGGGGAATAAACCAGTTGGGACACATGAGGATGTTGCCATCAGGAGGCACCAACTAACAAGGTCAATTCAGAGCATCCTCAAGATGTTTAATGACACAGTAGCCTTATTGTTTTTAAGTTCTCTGCCCCCAGATACAAATTCTACCAAAATGCTATTAGCTGACATATTACAGTCTTATTATCCTACTCAGAGATGTGACAGTGCAGAATTGGGACATGGCGTTCGCTGGGTAGACAGAGGGTATTTTGTACGTTGCTGTAGATTTCATGACCAAACTCTTCCAACATGTTTCAATCATGACATGAAGTGCTGACTTATAAAACAATGGATCCTAAACATGTTTGTGCAGACACATTTTACCATAACATCAATTTCTATGCTAAAACTGTCCTCAATTTTCTCCCCAAAAAATACCTTCCCATCCTTTCAACCACACTGGCCAAATGCATGCTGGAGATGGGACATACCAACTTTGTAGTGAACAGCGCCCTCCAGGTCTCCCACAGTGACCCAGCCCTGCTTCTTCTCCACCTCAGGGTCATTGTGCAGGATCTTGTTCCTCAGCCAGGACAGATAGTACACACGCAGCTTGTTCTTCTTGCCTGCACGGGACAGTCAGACAAGCGGGAGAGGTCAAGGGTCAGGGTACCTACAATGCACCTACGATATACACTACCAGTCAAAAGTTTGGACACACCTACTCATTCAAGGGTTTTACTTTATTTTTTTAAAAATTTACATTGTAGAATAATAGTGAATACATCAAAACTATGAAATAACACATATAGAATCATGTAGTAAACAAAAAAGTGTTAAACAAATCAAAATATATTTTATATTTGAGATTCTTCAAATATCCACCCTTTGCCTTGATGACAGCTTTGCACACTCTTGGCATTCTCTCAACCAGCTTCATGAGGTAGTCACCTGGAATGCGTTTCAATTAACAGGTGTGACTTCTTAAAAGTTAATGCGTTTGAGCCAATCAGTTGTGTTGTGCCAAGGTAGGGGGGATATACAGAAGATAGCCCTATTTGGTAAAAGACCAAGTCCATATTATGGCAAGAACAGCTCGAAGAAACAAAGAGAAACGACAGTCCATTACTTTAAGACATGAAGGTCAGTCAATACGTACAATTTTGCAGTCGCAAAAACCATCAAGCGCTATGATGAAACTGGCTCTCATGAGGACCGCCACAGGAATGGAAGACCCAGAGTTACCTCTGCTGCAGATGATACATTCATTAGAGTTACCAGCCTCAGAAATTGCATCCCAAATAAATGCTTCACAGAGTTCAAGTAACAGACATCTCAACATCAACTGTTCAGAGGGGACTGTGGGAATCAGGCCTTCATGGTCGAATTGCTGCAAGGAAACCACTACTAAAAGGACACCAATAAGAAGAAGAGACCTGCTTGGGCAAAGAAACACGAGCAATGGACATTATACCGGTGGAGATGTGTCCTTTTGTCTGGAGTCCACATTTGAGATTTTTGGTTCAAGACGCCGTGTCTTTGTGAGTCGCAGTGTGGGTGAACGGCTGATCTCCGCATGATTAGTTCCCACCGTAAAGCATGGAGGAGGTGTTATGGTGTGGGGGTGCTTTGCTGGTGACACTGTCTGTGATCTATTTAGAATTCAAGGCACACTTAACCAGCATGGCTACCACAGCATTCTGCAGTGATATGCCATCCCATCTGGTTTGGGCTTAGTGGGACTATAATTTGTTTTTCAACAGGACAATAACCCAACACACATCCAGGCTGTGTAAGGGATATTTTACCAAGAAGGAGAGTGATGGAGTGCTGCATCAGATGACCTGGCCTTCACAATCCCCCGACCTCAACCCAATTGAGGTGGTTTGGGATGAGTCGGACGGCAGAGTGAAGGAAAAGCAGCCAACAAGTGCTCAGCATATGTGGGAACTCTTTCAAGACTGTTGAAAAACCATTCCAGGTGAAGCAGGTTGAGAGAATGCAAAGAGCTTGCAAAGCTGTCATCAAGGCAAAAGGGTGGCTATTTGAAAAATCTCAAACATTTTTATGTTACTACATGATTCCATATGTGTTATTTCATAGTTTTGATGTCTTCACTATTATTCTACAATGTACAAAATAGTAAAAAATTAAGAAAATTCCTTGAATGAGTAGGTGTGTCCAAACTTTTGACTGGTACTGTATAATCAATATGTAATGGCACAGGGGGTGACGTTTCCCCTAGGTACAGATCTAGTGGGGAAAATGCCAAACTGACCTAAGATCAGCGTGTAGGGGCAACTTCACCCTACTCCTATGTAATGGGTGGAGGAAGCCGTCTTACTGTACACACCTATTTCAATGAATAGAGGTATTATTGGAGTTTTTACTATGTATTTATTTATTTATTTCAATTGTGATGAACATATTTGAAATCATTATCAATACTAGTACAGAGGATATGCTGAGTCAATGACAGGGTCTGTATTGTTGTAGAACCTGTACTGAATATTTGACAACATGTTGCAACATAACGGAATATTGTGTTTGTGAATGTAGGTCTTCAAATTGAAAGACAACATTTTCTGTAACCTGACCAACAAGTCGGAACACACACAACTTTTATATTAATCTACTGAGAATGATCCAGTACAATGACTTGAAGGATAACACATTTGCATTTCCATCTAAGCTAAAAACTGAAGAAGCAACATCAAATTGTCTCAACGTCTCTTTAGAGCATGGACCCTTTCTTTCATTCATTGCAAAATTACATCAAAATGATAAATCTGACTATCTATTTATATTTTTAGTCATTTAGCAGACGCTCTTATCCAGAGTGACTTACAGGAGCAATTAGGGTTAAGTGCCTTGCTCAAGGGCACATCGGCAGATTTTTCACCTAGTCGGCTCAGGGATTAGAACCAGCAACCTTTCGGTTACTGGCACTACGCTCTTAACCACTAAGCTACCTGCCGTATCTGTGTGTGTTTCCGTGCTTCCACCATGGAAACCTTTGCGTGTGTGTCAGTGGACATGCAATACAAATATATGATGTCCTACACGCTCACTGGCCATTTACTCGATTTCCTCTGGCTGAATGTCTGTTGAGTGACACCAGAAGAGCCAGCATTGGTTGGTACAATGAATGAATGATGTGACCACAGCACAGGAAAGAGAAGCAGGAACCTACAGTCAGACACTGCCTGTCTGAATAAGTCTGGAATCAGACTAAAATAGCTTTGCACGAACGGTCTCATCAGAGATCCCATAGACATCTTAAAAATGTGTGTGTGTGTGTGTGTGTGTGTGTGTGTGTGCATGTGCGTGTGTTTGCATTTCTGTGTTTTCCCATGTATGTGTAGTAACTGTGCATGTATAGTGTGTGTGTGTGTGTGTGTGTGTGTGTGTGTGTGTGTGTGTGTGTGTGTGTGTGTGTGTGTAGTAACTAAATGTATAGCGTGTACCTACCTGATATAGTAACCAGGACGTTTAGGCCCTCCAGGACGTCCATCTGTTGGAAGCGGCGTCGACTGATGAGGGGGTACACCTTCCCCTGACCGCTACGATCCAGCAGCATCAGACCACTCTCTGTCCCCACCAGCAGGTTCACTCCTACACAAAAACACACACTTTCACATTTAGTTTGCTACCACCTGCTGGCGAAGACTGATATGACTGTGATAACTACATAGCAGAGATAATTGTGACCACTCACCCCAGAGCGCAGCACACAGGATCTCAGAGTTGAACCTCTTCTTGTACTTGCGGATCTCTGGGGTGTCGCTCTGCGGCCGTGTGTTGACAGGGTTCACGTTGACCACGGAGCCTTTACGTGACGGGTCCGCCCTCAGTGCCTCCGCCAGCCTGGCGTCGTTCCCAAAAGCTGCAGGGACAAGGAAGGGATTCAGTTGGAAATACAAGCAGATTATGTATTACTGTCATATATATTCAGTTATATTTAGTATACATTTATATAACTTTTGTAGAGAATAAACAGGTGTTCTCTGGTGTTGCCTCAGAATCTAACACCAGGTTGATTGACACTGGAGGGAACCACTCAGATACTACTGAAGGGAACTTGTCGTCCAATAAGGGGGCTGGGAGAACGGGTTTACCCAGGTTGTTGAGAGCGGCGCCGGATGTAGAGACCTGGAGGAGGCGTGGATCGATAAAAGGAGTGAAGGAGGAGGAGGACTTGTGTTTCTGCATGGTGTTGCTGACAGAATGACTCTAGAGGAGCAGGTGAATAGAACAACAATGACGATACATAGAATCACATGTATTTCTATCATTATGACATTGACTTACCTCCCAACTCATAGACCAAGACTACAATGGCAGCAGTGTGTGCAATATGCAATATATAAGTTCAATACAAGTTCAAAGACTACCAAACAGACATTTTGAAAGATGGACACAATAAACTGAGGCAGATGTAAGGAGCATGCAGATATCAGGCATAGGGAAAAACTCACAAAATCACACAATGAAGTAAAGTGAAAAAGGAAAAAACAAGAGGTCTCTATGGTGGTGGGTAGAGGTCAAATAGATGGAATGTTCAGGTAAAAACAAAAGCTGAGGAACAAAAATATATTTCAAGGAATGTCTTTTTATGGTAAAACAATTGCCTTATTCCTGAAATATGTTACGTCGTAGCCTAGTCTTGAGAGGGTTTCTGGAAGATGTCTTTAACGATCTGACTGATTAAAAGCCACAAATAATAATCAGAGAGAGAGAGATCTTAGGGCTAGAGGAAACCCCGTAATGGGCCTCCAAGGACATGTAAGCCAGCGCAACCTAATATAGTCTCAAAAACTATAATAAGAAATTATGTCAAATACCAGAAATTTGGTCAAAATAATATATTTTTTTAGGGGGAGCAACAAAAATTATCCATCACCACACCACCTTACCTACAGAGCTTGGAGGAAACTAGAGTAGTTGTCTCACTCAGAAAAAGGAAGCGATAAAGAGGCCCACTAGGTGGCCAGAGAGAGAGCACTACCAGATGCAACCAGCAGAGTGACCAGAGAGAGGTGGCCAGAGAGAGAGCACTACCAGATGCAACCAGCAGAGGCCTGACGGAGGACCAGGGGTCAGAGGGGGGCTGAGGGACGTACCTCCAGGAGCATGCTGAGCTTGTCCAGGGGGCTCTGGGGGGACATGGACATGGTGGGGCTGGCCAGGCTGGAGGAGGGAGAGGAGGAGGCGGAGGAGGAGGGGGAGTGGTGGCTCTGCTGGATCAGGTCAGGCAGGAGGTGAATGCGGCCCACAAAGCCATTTTTCTCCTGGTGGCCTTGGAGGCCTGGAAGGCCCTGGAGGGCAGGGTGAATCAGCCCGGGGCTGGTGTTAAAGCCAGGGACAGGGCCAGGGCCTTGACCAGGGCTGGGGACAGGTCGCTTTTTGTTGTCACCTGTACTCTGGAAGTAAGAACAGGGGCACACTTTGGGTCTAGGTTTCTTTCTATGCAGTGGAGGGATTCTATTGGCTATTGTGTTAAGGGAAGACTAGTCTACTAAAGTAGTCTACTGAAGGTACAGTCTACTAGAGCTAGTCTACTACTGTAAGAGACTTCAGACACATTCAATTGGGGGTTAAGTATAAGAGAATGGTCAATAACAGAGACCAAAAGTATAATTATTTTGTTTACATTTCTTAATAAATTATTTATATGACTTTAGTGGAGCCATTTTAAGAACTTCAATCTGTTGCAGGACTACCATCTAGCCCTTATACTGTCATCTAATGGGGGAGCGGGTGGTTAATACTGGGAGTGGGTCCATTTCTCCAGGCTAACCAAGCCCTTTCCACTCTAACCCAAACCCCTTCACCAGCAACCCAAAGTAAACAATGACAGAACAAATAAGATGAGGTCCAACACAATATCAAACACAGTGGGTAAACTATAAGGGGACAAATGAGTATATGAAATACCACAATAAAATAACTAAAAGGTTTACAGTGTGTGACTGATAATGTTGTTATAAGAGATGTAGTTGACTCCTCCCAGTCTGCATGGACTTGGTGTTGGCCTTACCGGTCTGACGATCAGAGTGCCATCTTTACAGGGTGTGGTTTTAGAGTCACTCTCGCCCTCGTCGTGAACGATCAAGGTCTTCACCGACTCCATCTCTCCGTTGTTCAGTCTGGAAGAGCTGGTGGGGGAGGTAGAATGAACAGAGAAACAGGAAGATGGTTAGTTATGGGGGGAAAAAAAACAATACAGTTACATATCGGGATATTATTTTTGACGATATATCGTATCGTTTTCACAATACCGCAATATTATTTTAGCACTAGTTTTCTGTTCCTGCACCAAAACGCCAGAACTTTTCCTTCATACAGTGGGGAAAAAAAGTATTTAGTCAGCCACCAATTGTGCAAGTTCTCCCACTTTAAAAGATGAGAGGCCTGTAATTTTCATCATAGGTACACGTCAACTATGACAGACTAATTGAGAATTTTTTTTCCAGAAAATCACATTGTAGGATTTCTAATGAATTTATTTGCAAATTATGGTGGAAAATAAGTATTTGGTCACCTACAAACAAGCAAGATTTCTGGCTCTCACAGACCTGTAACTTCTTCTTTAAGAGGCTCCTCTGTCCTCCACTCGTTACCTGTATTAATGGCACCTGTTTGAACTTGTTATCAGTATAAAAGACACCTGTCCACAACCTCAAACAGTCACACTCCAAACTCCACTATGGCCAAGACCAACGAGCTGTCAAAGGACACCAGAAACAAAATTGTAGACCTGCACCAGGCTGGGAAGACTGAATCTGCAATAGGTAAGCAGCTTGGTTTGAAGAAATCAACTGTGGGAGCAATTATTAGGAAATGGAAGACATACAAGACCACTGATAATCTCCCTCGATCTGGGGCTCCACGCAAGATCTGACCCCATGGGGTCAAAATGATCACAAGAACGGTGAGCAAAAATCCCAGAACCACACGGGGGGACCTAGTGAATGATCTGCAGAGAGCTGGGACCAAAGTAACAAAGCCTACCATCAGTAACACACTACGCCGCCAGGGACTCAAATCCTGCAGTGCCAGACGTGTCCCCTAGCTTAAGCCAGTACATGTCCAGGCCCGTCTGAAGTTTGCTAGAGTGCATTTGGATGATCCAGAAGAGGATTGGGAGAATGTCATATGGTCAGATGAAACCAAAATAGAACTTTTTGGTAAAAACTCAACTCGTCGTGTTTGGAGGACAAAGAATGCTGAGTTGCATCCAAAGAACACCATACATTATTTATTTTTTTACATCATTACAATACCTACTGTGAAGCATGGGGGTGGAAACATCATGCTTTGGGGCTGTTTTTCTGCAAAGGGACCAGGACGACTGATCCGTGTAAAGGAAAGAATGAATGGGGCCATGTATCGTGAGATTTTGAGTGAAAACCACCTTCCATCAGCAAGGGCATTGAAGATGAAACGTGGCTGGGTCTTTCAGCATGACAATGATCCCAAACACACCGCCCGGGCAACGAAGGAGGGGCTTCGTAAGAAGCATTTTAAGGTCCTGGAGTGGCCTAGCCAGTCTGCAGATCTCAACCCCATAGAAAATCTTTGGAGGGAGTTGAAAGTCCGTGTTGCCCAGCGACAGCCCCAAAACATCACTGCTCTAGAGGAGATCTGCATGGAGGAATGGGCCAAAATACCAGCAACAGTGTGTGAAAACCTTGTGAAGACTTACAGAAAACGTTTGACCTGTGTCATTGCCAACAAAGGGTATATAACAAAGTATTGAGAAACTTTTGTTATTGACCAAATACTTATTTTCCACCATAATTTGCAAATAAATTCATAAAAAATCCTACAATGTGATTTTCTGGAATTTTTTTTCTCGTGTACCTATGATGAAAATTACAGGCCTCTCTCATCTTTTTAAGTGGGAGAACTTGCACAATTGGTGGCTGACTAAATACTTTTTTTTCCCCACTGTACGTGTAGCTTGTTCTCCTTTTTCTTTTAGGGAGCCAATTCGTTTTTAGCACTTATTTCCATGACTGCTCAAACCTTGTTTTCTCATGGCTCCTTCGTCTCTCTGCAGCAGACGTATGGTTTAGAACATCGAATCTCAATACATGTAGAATTGTAATACATATCATATTGGCACCGAAGTATGGTAATATTATCGTATCTTGAGGTCCCTGGCAATTCCCAGTCCTAGTTATAATGACATGACTTTTCCTTCACTGCAATCACAAGCTCAAATGTCATTGCAATATGATGTAATTGAGTACGTTTAAATGCACACTAATAATTTGATATTAAACTGATCATAGCACTAGGCCGAGTATGGCAATAGTCATGTAAACACCTAACTCTGCTCATCTTAAATCAGCGTGAGGTCATAATCCAAGTAAGCATACAACGATTAAAACACCTGGTCTCGAATTATTATGACATGTAAATGCCTTAATCAGAGTTACAGCGGTGTATTTGATCTGTGCATGTGCTAGCACGAGTTCGGAAAAACAAAGTATGCATCTTATAAATAGTTTTCACATACACACATGAATATGTCGGAACTCAGAATCAAATAGTTTCCCCAAAAATAACATGGTCGCTGTGGTAGAATGTTTATTTTGATTGGCGATTTTGGGCATTTATCACAGTCCCATCAGGTAGCCTGTTTTCAGATCTGTCCATGTAAACAGGATTATTAGGGAAATCGTTCTACTTGCAAAGCATGTTAACGTTTAAATCAAACTATTATATTATCCTGACTATTCACAATACTTATATTATTGTGTGCATGTAACCGTACTCATTGTGAGAAGGGTTAGGGGTTAGGGTTCAGGTGTCCTCCTCTACATACACAGCGCGAGAGTCCTCTGGTCCTGATGTAGACTCCTCCCCTCCCTCCTGGTCCACCTCTTCATCATCCTCATCCTCATCCGTGGTCCCCGACTCCTCACTGGATGAGGAGTAGTCTGTCACCTTGTGGGGACGTGGCACGTCCTCCACCGCACGCAGCTCTTTGGCCAGCGCTGTCAGGTCCTAGGAAGGGGGGGGGGGGGGGGGGGGGGTCAGAGGTCAAACTATGTTTCCATCCCTTTCAGTCTTGCTCTCCCTCTCTTTTTTAGCTCTCTTTCCGGGTTGTGGATTTGTTGCCAGGTCACTCGCAGGGTTAAATGCAGGAGACAGGAAGCTGCTGGGGGAAGAAGTGAGGTCACAGGTGCGCCAGCCAATGAAGAGCCGGCCGGTGAGTAGCAAAGCCAATAGGATATGAGAAAATTGATGAGTAAGTACATACACTGCTGCCATACTGCCAATGTGTCCACAAGGCTGGAAGAGGTTAGTGAGTCCATCAGATGACCAGACCCGAGCATTCAAGGAAGGAAGGGGCTGCAAGTATGTGAGTGATTGAATGATCCAATAGAAAGAAATATAACAAGTATGAGGGGATGAGATTAAAAGGAACATGAGTAAAATAGCACCAATCAGGAGAGAGGCAAGCCATTAGTACAGAACCCTTCAGCCAATGAGATCGTCAGTACAAATACCCACTCCATTTCATTCCAGCTTACCACTTCCCCCTACAGAATTCACGAGTACCGGTAATCCACAGCGCAGAGGGCGAAACACACACACACACAAAAATAACTATGTCAGATTATTGTAAAACCATCATTCCCACTCAAAACTGTTAATTCCACCGCTTTCTGAAGTGTCACTGTCACTTAGTGTAGTTCAACACTAGTTAGTACACTAGCTAGTAAACTAGTTGGCTAGTCAGCTAGTCCACTAGTTTCACGGGGGTAAGGTCTCACCGCCAGTCGGTTAGGTCTGACCAACTCCTTCCTCTCCTCAGGTTTTTTCCCAGCATGCTCTGGACGTTGGAGGGGATTACCCTCAGACTTTGACGAGGCTGAGAGGGGGACAATGGGGGATACCGGTCAGTAAATTGAAGAGCTATGTGGAGAATTGTGCCACGAATTTAATTGTAAATGTAAATGTGAGTACTTTGTAAACAGTGGTTATGTGTGTGTGTGGGTGTCTTGAGAGTGTGCATATAAGAAACTATGCGTGAGACTATGAATGCGTGTGTGTATCAGGGGAATATCAGACTCACAGCGGGCTCTGAACCTCTCCCCTGAGCCGCTGTGAGAGCTGGGCTGGGAGCTGGAGTTACTGGAGCCAGAGGAGCTGCCAGTACTACCACTGCCACTGGCTGGCCTGGGAACCAGTTTCTCCACCCGCTCCCACAGCAGACGTGGCTCCGCTGCAGCACTGTGGAGAGAAACAGAGAGGGGTTGTTATAGTATAGACACACATTTTTTTTATTTTTTTATTTTTTATTTCACCTTTATTTAACCAGGTAAGCCAGTTGAGAACAAGTTCTCATTTACAACTGTGACCTGGCCAAGATAAAGCAAAGCAGTGCGATAAAAACAACACAGAGTTACATATGGGGTAAAAAACATAAAGTCAAAAATACAACAGAAAATATATATACAGTGTGTGCAAATGTAGCAAGTTATGGAGGTAAGGCAATAAATAGGCTATAGTGCAAAATAATTACAATAGTATTAACACTGGAATGCTAGATGTGCAAGAGATTATGTGCAAATAGAGATACTGGGGTGCAAAAGAGCAAAATAAATAACAATATAGGGATGAGGTAGTTGGGTGGGCTAATTTCAGATGGGCTGTGTACAGGTGCAGTGATCGGTAAGGTGCTCTGACAACTGATGCTTAAAGTTAGTGAGGGAGATAAGAGTCTCCAGCTTCAGAGATTTTTGCAATTCGTTCCAGTCATTGGCAGTAGAGAACTGGAAGGAATGGCGGCCAAAGGAGGTGTTGGCTTTGGGAATGACCAGTGAGATATACCTGCTGGAGCGCAGACTACGGGTGGGTGCTGCTATGGTGACCAATGAGCTAAGATAAGGCGGGGATTTGCCTAGCAGTGATTTATAGATGGCCTGGAGCCAGTGGGTTTGACGACGAACATGTAGTGAGGACCAGCCAACAAGAGCGTACAGGTCACAGTGGTGGGTAGCGTATGGGGCTTTGGAGACAAAACGGATGGCACTGTGATAGACTACATCCAATTTGCTGAGTAGAGTGTTGGAGGCTATTTTGTAAATGACATCGCCGAAGTCAAGGATCGGTAGGATAGTCAGTTTTACGAGGGCATGTTTGGCAGCATGAGTGAAGGAGGCTTTGTTGCGAAATAGGAAGCCGATTCTAGATTTAACTTTGGATTGGAGATTCTTTATGTGAGTCTGGAAGGAGAGTTTACAGTCTAACCAGACACCTAGGTATTTGTAGTTGTCCACATACTCTAGGTCAGACCCGTCAAGAGTGGTGATTCTAGTCGGGTGGGCGGGTGCCAGCAGCGTTCGATTGAAAAGCATGCATTTAGTTTTACTAGTGTTTAAGAGCAGTTGGAGGCTACTGAAGGAGTGTTGTATGGCATTGAAGCTCGTTTGGAGGTTTGTTAACACAGTGTCCAATGAAGGGCCAGATGTATACAAAATGGTGTCGTCTGCGTAGAGGTGGATCTGAGAGTCACCAGCAGCAAGAGCGACATCATTGATATACACGGAGAAAAGTGTCGGCCCAAGAATTGAACCCTGTGGCACCCCCATAGAGACTGCCATAGGTCCAGACAACAGGCCCTCCGATTTGACACACTGAACTCTATCTGAGAAGTAGTTGGTGAACCAGGCGAGGCAGTCAAACTTTACATCCTGTATAGACAAACTTGACATACTGTATAGACACACATACTTTACATTCTGTATAGACACACATACTTTACATATACTCAGTGGTCAGTTTATTAGGTACACCATCCCGATCACTCCTACAGACAGTGAGTCAGGTAGCTGTGGCTTGCTATATAAAGCAGGCAGACCGGCATCGAGGCATTCAGTTACTGTTCGATTGAACGTTAGAATGGGTAAAACGAGTGACCTAAGCGACTGAGTGTGGTATGATCGGTGACAGGAGCGCCGGTTCCAGTATCTCAGAAACGGCCGGCCTCCTGGGCTTTTCACGCACGACAGCGTCTAGGGTTTACAGAGAATGGTGTGACAAACAAAAAACATCCAGTCAGCGGCAGTCCTGTGGGCGAAAACAGCTTGTCGAGAGGTCGAAGGAGAATGGCAATCGTGCAATCTAACAGGCGGGCCATAAACAGGCAAATAACGGCACAGTACAATAATAGTATGCAGAACGGCATCTCGGAACGCACAACTCGTCAGTCCTTATCACGGATGGGCTATTGCAGCAGACGACCACACTACGTTCCACTCCTATCAGCTAAAAACAAGAAGAAGCAACTCCAGTGGGCATGCGATCACCAACACTTGACAATTGAAGAGTGGAAAAACATTGCCTGGTCCGACAAATCCCGGTTCCTGTTGAGTCATGCTGATGGTAGTCAGGAGTACATGGCCCCATCCTGACAGGTGTCAACGGTACTGGCTGGTGACAGTGGTGTAATGGTGTGGGCAATGTTTTCTTGGCACACATTAGGTCCCTTGATACCAATCGAGCAACGTTTCCACGCCCCGAAGAATTCAGGCTGTTCTGGAGGCAAAGGGGTGTCCAACCCGGTACTAGATGGGTGTACCTAATAAACTAGCCACTGAGTGTAGACACATACTTTACATACACACACATTCTTTACATATAGACATACAAATACATACTGTACATATTAATAGACAGACCCATAAAGAGACACACATACATTTCCATAGACACAAAGTCTCACAGGAGATGAAGCTAAGCATGCTAAGAAGGGAAGTGGAGAGGTTTTACATTAGGGAAAGGGGATACCTAGTCAGTTGCACATGAAATGCATTCAACCGAAATGTGTCTTCTGCATTTAACTCAACCTCCCTGAATCAGAGAGGTGCGGGGGACTGCCTTAATTGACGTCCACATCATCGGCGCCTGGGGAGCAGTTGTTATGGGTTAACTGCCTTGCTCAAGGGCAGAACGGCAGATTTCTTTGCTCAGGGATTCGAACCAGTGACCTTTCGGTTACTGGCCCAACGCTCTTAACCGCTAGACTACCTGCCACCCAGTACTGAAAACCCAAATAGAAGAGGAGATGGTGGAGTGGTGAACAGAGGGACAGACGGAGGGAGAGACAGTGACAACAAAATAAAGCAAAAAAGACAGATTGAAAGAGAGAAAGAAAGAAAACGAGACAGAGAAAAAGATAAATGGAGAGACGTGAAAAGGTACCTGTAGGCGTTCCTCTGGCCCGCCGGGTTGCTAGGCGTGGCATTGGAGTTGCCATGGAGAGGGGAGTCCCTGCGTGACAGTACTGGAGACCTGGACGTTGTCCTCACAGGAACCTTCCACACATACATATGACTGCTCACAAACACACTCTACGGGCACATACACACTCTCGGAGTGCGTATGTGTACAACAGTGTGTGACATAGGGGTGCCAGGAGCACAAAAGCTAGACACACACTGTTAAGACGTCCCTACCAAGTCCCCACAACGTTTCTACAAATGTCCAAACTATGTCCCCGCATACTCACACTGCGTAAAGCCAAACCACTGAAAGAGAGTTCGGTCTGACACAGCAAAAGACAGCATTATATCCACACCAATGTTCCCTCCAAAGAAAATTCATCACTGAGCAAATGTCAGTTCTGCTGAGCGCAAACTTGAACGTTGTGAAAATTCTGGGCAACTTCCGGCGCGCTTTTACTGTTAACACCAAGGCTGTACCTGCTTTAAGTTAATTTTAACAGTGGTCAAGTAGGCTACTGTGGCTATTTGATCATAATGTAGGCCTACCAGAGTGGCCTACAATAGAAATCAATGGAGAAAATGCATCCCATAACATTTTTACATGGAAATTGCTGTTCTATCGTTCAGCCTACAGTAGCAGCCAATGTGTGGTGTTCAATGTAGGCCTACATTCCATGAGACTTTCGGAAAAAAAACATGCAGGGCTTGACATTACCCTTTTTATCCACTTGTCCTTCAGACAAGGAGGTGACTGAAAATGTTGTTGTGTTGTAAGAAACCACTTCACAAAATAAAATGCATCATTAATCCCATAACAGTATTACAGTGAATCAGACAAATTATGCTACCCTCTGCCTACTTAGCTTATTCAAGCCTGTCTCAAAATAAAACACTGCCCCCTTCAAGACAAAAAAATGCTCTTTAGCTGACTTGCTTTTCAAAGATGTCTAGAAATGCACACGATTTGTGCTCTTGTAGGAAGCAATCACTCCCCCATTGCTGACTACAAATTAGCTATAACTGGGCTAATAACTCACTAAGGATATGAACAAATGTACAAATGTGCACACGTCGCTACATGTAGTTCTCGCTTTCATCTCAAAACAAGTGCATCTACTCACAACCACTCATGCTGTAAAAATAGTTAAAAGTGAATGGCACAGATACATATATGGCAATGGTCTTTTTGCATATAGGCCTACTGCAGCTCTGATTGGTTATGGTGCACAAGTTGTGTAGAGTCGTGCCTGTCAATGCAATAGAATCCTACTCCGATGCGTTCTGCCTACAACAAAATCTCTTGCATAGTTTGTTTTGTTTCGGTATGTTGCATTGAAAGTGGCTAATATTGCATTGATTTGATCACAATTCCCACAGTAAAGGGAAACGTTAACTAACGGGGAAAACTTGAGTGAAGTTCAATCTCGTGCTTCTCTGAGCGCAGTGATATTTCTTCTGCGCGGCAGTCCCGGGGAGCTGCGCGCCCGCGCACAGGGGTTGATAAGGGAAGTGTGTGGATATAATGCTGTCTTTTGCTGTGTCAGACCTAACTCTCTCTTTCAGTGGGGTGGCTTAACACAAAAACAGCTGTAAAGTTATATTATAGATTTCAGCATTTCTCTTTCGTTTCCAGGGGACAGGAGGGAGAACAGCTTGAGAAGGAACAGGGGGCAGCATCCAAAGCAAAGCAGGGCGGAACAAACAGACACTCCATTCAGATGGAATGCTAACTAACACTGACATTGATATGAGACACTACCAGAGGCTTACACAGGAAGGAGGGAGCAGAACAGGAAATGACATACTCATACCTCACCAAAGAAGAGGAAGTGATGTTTGATAGGTAGGTCCTATGTGAAGAGAGGACAATAATTCCACCTCGTATTTGTGCAGATGGGGGGCAAATAAAGTGCTAACGTCACAATTTCAACATGAGGAATATTTTCCTTGGAGAAAGTTTCTAACAGCCTGAATCCTACCCTTTATTTGTGACAGCCTCCAGCGTCCCATTGATTTGGGAGCATCTCTAAAATGCTGAGATGCAAAAGCACTCAGCTGTCGAGTGATTGCTGCTGCAGCTTTCTTTCTCTGGTATTTTTACATCAGTCGGCTACGGAGGTCTGGGAGGCTGAACAAGGGAGGGTTCTGAGAGGAGAGACAGAGGGGGAATAGAGAACAGAGAACGAGCCTCTAATCCTTTCATAACGTACTGCTCTCTCTGAATCCTCTCAGCAGGCCAGGGTGAGGAGGAGGTCGCTCTGTCTTACAACTGTTACTAAGACAAATGTCACTCTGCTCATTCACTCCAATGTTGTCCTCTCCAGCATGGCCATCTAGTGACTACTAGTATACTGGTCTACAGTTCAGACTTCCTAGTAAAGCTGTCTAATGACTACCAGTCTACCCGCCTTTGCCAGGGGATGGGCCGATCTTACCCTGGGAGGGGTGTCGTCTGTGGGGGCCTTCTCGAGGGGCAGGCCCTTGGGCTGGGGGTTGGGCTGCGGGTCAGTGCGTGCGGGTGATGATGAAGGTGATGATGAAGGTGCAGGGTGATGGTGCTGCTCCTGAGAGCACAGGTGGAGGTGTGCAAAGCTAGGGACGATGGGGGGAGCGGCGCTGCTGCTCTTTAGAGCGGCCAGGTGGGACCACTGGACCTTCCAGAGACAGAGACAGACGGGGGGTGTCAGAGGGGGAGGACACATACAGTGATTGGATACTGAAGCTTCAGGAAGCATCAAAATGGGAGGAGTTGTCTTGAGACCAATGGGAAGTCAGATGAACCATTTGATTGGTTCACATCACAGACAGCCAATGACAGCTCCACCTGTTTTGATGCTCATGACGCTTCAGTCTCAGTCTCATCACCAGTTGTGAGAATGAGCATGGATCACATAAACAAGGCATACACAGATCAGCTTGCATCATGCATAGAAAGTTAGACACAAACACACACATCCACACTCACATAATGGCATGCACACATTCAAGGATACTTTTTCTGGTACAAGTAACTGAGAAGAGTATAATCCAATAGGAACATATCCATACTAGGTTTATAACTGAATTTATTCCCTTTCCAATTCCTTTCAAATCTGTACTGAGAAGCGCTCAGACAGGAAACCCCAAAGAGATTTATCACTCAACAAATAAGTATTCTGTAACAAGCCCAACACACCTCATATCTGTCTCTAATGACGTGTCACTAACGAGAGAAAAGTGACTAATGCATTTAATGGCTCTGCTAAACCATGTAGCAATCAGTTACATGATCATCATCACCAAATTACACACTGTTACATCTAATTACCATGACATTATCCAAAAACAGAACGGTGCCCTGAATGGTGCCCTGTGACATTAATGACTGTATTCACGCTGGGTTGGTTGAGTCTCTGAGCAGATGAGATGAGTAATATACTGAGTCACTGTGAAAACAGAAAGATGAATTATGGATGTGTTTGTGTTGTTTAACACACAGTCAAGATGTACATGTAGCAGCTCTACCTTTATAAAGGAGTCACCAACCTGGCAATGCACACACACACACACACACACACAATAGAGAAGGCAGTCAGAGGTAGAGCGAGTGTGTGAAGCTGGTATTGAGCAATAAGTGGCCAGAATAGAAGCAAGCAGCCTGGACCTCATACTAACACAGTGGTGGAGGATAGGCTGTCACCCGGGGAAGTAGCAAAGACGATGGAGGTACCTATTAAGGGACTAGAAAGGTGAACTATGTCGTCAGTAAGAGACAGAGAACAACACCCACATTTCTCCACACTGTGAAAGAATTCAGCTAGAACAGAGGCTAGAAGAGAGTTAGCGAGGGGGAAGAGATAGTAAACACAAGAACAGTCATCTACTGTAGCTAGTAAGACACCACTACTGCAGATACACAACCCGGAGAGAGAGCGAGAGCGCAAGAGAGAGAGAGAGACCACCCTGTTAGAACTACCTTGAAGGAAGAAGGGATTGGAAAAAGACTTCAGAAAAGGGCGTCGTAGCGGAAGGAGGAATAAGCAACTGGCGGTCAGCCATCTTGGTTGTTGTGGTTACCTGGGGTTCCATGGGCCTTTGCTTGGCAGGCGGGACAGCCATGGGGGCATTTCCGTTGGCAATGGTCTCGGCGGCACGGGGAGGAACCGGGGGCTGAACCTTAACCTGGGCGGCCTGAGGAGAACCTTGGATGTTCTTACGGTACCTCTCATCGGCCTGGAGGGACAGAGAGAGGGACAGAGTCATTAACCTTCATCAGGACAAAGAGGATCGAGCCACAGCAGTAGTGGGAGGGTCAGTAGTAAGATCAGTTAGAACCACCATGTTGGTGTCAGCTGTATAGCAGAGAAATATCTAGTAGAACAGGCACACCAGCAGGGACTACATACCATTACCACAACATGACAACCAGACAGAATTATTATGACATGATGAACTCAGGAGAGGGCTGTTCATCATGTATCAAAACAGTGTATCAGAGGGGGGGCCTGCTGGCAGAAGACAGTCAACAAAACAAAACCTATTTAGTATTGCACCCGAGGATAGAAGAGAGAGATTAGTTTGACCTATTCAACTGACAAAACCCAGACTCTAGTCTCCTGCCTTGTATGTCCTCCCTGTCACCCAGACTCTGTCCCTCCAGGTAATAATGAGAGCAGCAGGCCAGGCCAGTAGAGGGTAGAACCAGGGACACACAGCAGAGCGAGGCCTAATGAGCCGCCTCTATCAGACTGGGACATTAGCTCTAGGAGAGAGACAGCTACGCTAATTACACCTCCCTCGCAAAACGGAACCACTGTCCACATAATCCTTACTTAATCTTTAAGTCTGTTAGGAAAATGTGGCAATCATTGACTGACAAAGCACAGCTTAAAAAAGGTCCCATGCAGCCGTTTTTATCTCAATATAAAATCATTTCTGGGTAACAATTAAGTACCTTAGTGTGATTTTTTTTCAATTAAAATGGTCAAACAGAAATAAAACAGCTTCTTAGCAAAGAGCAATTTCTCAAGCAAGAATTTTGCTACGACTGTCTGGGAGTGGTCTGAGGAAAACTGAAAACGAGCTGTTATTGGCAGAGAGGTTATTGGTCTATTAACTAATTTACCGCCCGTTGATGTCACCAGGCAGGCCAAAACTCCATCCCACCAAAACAGGCAGAAATTTCAGGTGGTCTTTTGCATTACCAGTTACACTAAAGGGGCATTCTCATCATTTTCACAATTTCACAGTATTATTCCAACCTCATAGTATGGAAATATATATAAAACACAGGAAAATCACGTTTTTGACTGCACTGGGCCTTTAATGTTTTATGTTCATAATCATTTATTTTGAAGAGGATACAAATATAAAGAAGAGTTTTAATTTTTCCAAGATGCTGTATTTCCACCTGACAACAGGGGTCTCCATTTGACAACAAAACCCAAACACACTTGATTGGACAGATTGGTGAAAAGCTAATATATTGCCATCTGAATGTAGAAAGGATATGGGTAGGTAGCTTGGACATGCATTTTCCCAGGGCTGTATCTGTAGTTTCTATAGAGGTCTCATCCTGAGCAGGAATAGTAATATGACCACTAAAGTGAAAGTCCCTCACACCAGAAATCAAGCCACACACCCCACATAAAAGACACACACCCTACAGCAGTTTATGACTACAACAGCAGCACAAGCAAAAGCAGCATTCGACAGCAGCGTCATGGCAATGAAGCTTGGGTTCACCTCTCCAATTGGCTCAGGGGTGGGGCCTTGGGGTCAGGAGTCTGTGGGGACTTAGTCCTCTCCTGGATCAACAGCTGTGGGGACTTGGTCCTCTCCTGGATCAACAGCTGTGGGGACTTGGTCCTCTCCTGGATCAACAGCTGTGGGGACTTGGTCCTCTCCTGGATCAACAGCTGTGGGGACTTGGTCCTCTCCTGGATCAACAGCTGTGGGGACTTGGTCCTCTCCTGGATCAACAGCTGTGGGGACTTGGTCCTCTCCTGGATCAATAGTTGTTGTGGGGACTTGGTCCTCTCCTGGATCAATAGCTGTGGGGACTTGGTCCTCTCCTGGATCAATAGCTGTTGTGGGGACTTGGTCCTCTCCTGGATCAATAGTTGTTGTGGGGACTTGGTCCTCTCCTGGATCAATAGTTGTTGTGGGGACTTGGTCCTCTCCTGGATCAATAGTTGTTGTGGGGACTTGGTCCTCTCCTGGATCAATAGTTGTTGTGGGGACTTGGTCCTCTCCTGGATCAATAGTTGTTGTGGGGACTTGGTCCTCTCCTGGATCAATAGTTGTTGTGGGGAATTTGTCCTCTCCTGGATCAATAGTTGTTGTGGGGAATTTGTCCTCTCTTGGATCAATAGTAGTTGTGGGGACTTGGTCCTCTCTTGGATCAATAGTAGTTGTGGGACTTGGTCCTCTCTTGGATCAATAGTAGTTGTGGGACTTGGTCCTTTCTTGGATCAATAGTAGTTGTGGGACTTGGTCCTCTCTTGGATCAATAGTAGTTGTGGGACTTGGTCCTCTCTTGGATCAGTAGTTGTGGGGACTTGGTCCTCTCTTGGATCAGTAGTTGTGGGGACTTGGTCCTCTCTTGGATCAGTAGTTGTGGGGACTTGGTCCTCTCTTGGATCAGTAGTAGTTGTGGGGACTGAGACCTGTTGGTGGCTGGCTGCAGGGGTTTTGGCTGCTGTTGGAGGAGCAGTAGGTAAGTCTACTTCTGCTGTAGCTGCTCCTCCAGCTCCCAACACTTGTTCTCCTGAGTGCAGGGAGGCGTGGTGGTGCATCATCATCTAAACTTGCCGCCGCCCCCCCCCTCCCCCACTAAAGCATGGTGTGTGCTGTTCTATTTGAAGGAGTTCTGTATAAATGAGGGCTGGTGTCTTAATGGTACAAGCTGTATCCATGTAACTAGGGAAATGTGGAGTGGGTTTGTATTTTGACTGGGACCCAATTATTGTAAGTGTTTGAATGCTTTGAAAATATTTACTATTACAATATAGGCCAAATATTGGTTTCAAATGTAAAGGAAAAATGACTGAGCTAAAAGCTGATGATGCGTAAGAAGACATGAGGGAGACAGTAAGACATTGGGTGAGAGAGAGAAACGATGACAAGCAATGGTGGTGTGAAGTTGGAGGGATGTGGGTGATCATATCCTCACGTTATCTAATGTCCTCGTCAAACCCCTGGAGGAACAGAGGCCTTCAACAACATACACAGTATTAACACATTGCCACGCAGATCCGCTAACAACACACTGTCTCAACAGAGTTAGGAACATTGGTAGAGAAACAATGAAAACCTTCTCTTCCTGTAGGTAGGACACTCCCACATCCTGGTGACATCCTCACTTAAGGACTGTAATAAACATTCTGGCTTCCCCAACTTGGCCCAGAGAATGAATAAACTCCAACCTCAACAGTTAGCTCCATTTAGATATACTGTGATACACTCTAACTAGATTTTAAGAGTAGATTGTGACTTCAATAAATCAAAAACTTGCTAGCCATTCTTCAACACCCTACTACGGAGCGAAACCCATAGATTGCAAACCACTGACTTAGAAGGCTAGAAGAACAGATGGATAATGGGAGCTATATAGAAGGCTAGAAGAACAGATGGATAATGGGAGCTATATAGAAGGCTAGAAGAACAGATGGATAATGGGAGCTATATAGAAGGCTAGAAGAACAGATGGATAATGGGAGATATATAGAAAGCTAGAAGAACAGATGGATAATGGGAGATATATAGAAGGCTAGAAGAACAGATGGATAATGGGAGATATATAGAAGGCTAGAAGAACAGATAGATAATGGGAGCTATATAGAAGGCTAGAAGAACAGATGGATAATGGGAGATATATACACTGCTCAAAAAAATAAAGGGAACACTTAAACAACACAATGTAACTCCAAGTCAATCACAATTCTGTGAAATCAAACTGTCCACTTAGGAAGCAACACTGATTGACAATAAATGTCACATGCTGTTGTGCAAATGGAATAGACAACAGGTGGAAATTATAGGCAATTAGCAAGACACCCCCAATAAAGAAGTGGTTCTGCAGGTGGTGACCACAGACCACTTCTCAGTTCCTATGCTTCCTGGCTGATGTTTTGGTCACTTTTGAATGCTGGCGGTGCTTTCACTCTAGTGGTAGCATGAGACGGAGTCTACAACCCACACAAGTGGCTCAGGTAGTGCAGCTCATCCAGGATGGCACATCAATGCAAGCTGTGGCAAGAAGGTTTGCTGTGTCTGTCAGCGTAGTGTCCAGAGCATGGAGGCGCTACCAGGAGACAGGCCAGTACATCAGGAGACGTGGAGGAGGCCGTAGGAGGGCAACAACCCAGCAGCAGGACCGCTACCTCCGCCTTTGTGCAAGGAGGAGCAGGAGGAGCACTGCCAGAGCCCTGCAAAATGACCTCCAGCAGGCCACAAATGTGCATGTGTCTGCTCAAACAGTCAGAAACAGACTCCATGAGGGTGGTATGAGGGCCCGACGTCCACAGGTGGGGGTTGTGCAGGACGTTTGGCATTTGCCAGAGAACACCAAGATTGGCAAATTCGCCACTGGCGCCCTGTGCTCTTCACAGATGAAAGCAGGTTCACACTGAGCACGTGACAGACATGACAGAGTCTGGAGACGCCGTGGAGAACGTTCTGCTGCCTGCAACATCCTCCAGCATAACCGGTTTGGCGGTGGGTCAGTCATGGTGTGGGGTGGCATTTCTTTGGGGGGCGCACAGCCCTCCATGTGCTCGCCAGAGGTAGCCTGACTGCCATTAGGTACCGAGATGAGATCCTCAGACCCCTTGTGAGACCATATGCTGGTGCGGTTGGCCCTGGGTTCCTCCTAATGCAAGACAATGCTAGACCTCATGTGGCTGGAGTGTGTCAGCAGTTCCTGCAAGAGGAAGGCATTGATGCTATGGACTGGCCCGCCCGTTCCCCAGACCTGAATCCAATTGAGCACATCTGGGACATCATGTCTCGCTCCTTCCACCAACACCACGTTGCACCACAGACTGTCCAGGAATTGGCGGATGCTTTAGTCCAGGTCTGGGAGGAGATCCCTCAGGAGACCATCTGCCACCTCATCAGGAGCATGCCCAGGCGTTGTAGGGAGGTCATACAGGCACGTGGAGGCCACACACACTACTGAGCCTAACTTTGACTTGTTTTAAGGACATTACATCAAAGTTGGATCAGCCTGTAGTGTGGTTTTCCAATTTAATTTTGAGGGTGACTCCAAATCCAGACCTCCATGGGTTGATAAATTTGATTTCCATTGATAATTTTTGTGTGATTTTGTTGTCAGCACATTCAACTATGTAAAGAAAAAAGTATTTAATAAGATTATTTCATTCATTCAGATCTAGGATGTGTTGTTTAAGTGTTCCCTTAATTTTTTTGAGCAGTGTAGAAGGCTAGAAGAACAGATGGATAATGGGAGATGTATAGATGGATAGAAGAACCTAGATAGGCTTACAGAGTTCGGTCTCACCAGTAGCATGGCCTGTTCATGGAGTAGCTGCTGCTGCAGGATCTCCAAGTGCCTCTGCTCCTCCTCCAGCTGGCGACGGATGTACTCCTGTCAATCAAACCACACACACAGCAAGTGTCAGGGGAAGACTACAAGTACCATGAAAGAAACTGTTGTCGATGGAGAGTTCTCCTACCTGCTCCCGGTCAGCCCTCCTCTTCTCCTCCTCAGCCCTCCTGCGCTCCTCCTCCTCTTTACGCCGGCGTTCAACCTCCTCCATGCGCCTCTTGTCATCCTGCTCGCGGCGACGCTGCTCGCGCTCCTGCTGCCTCCTCATCTCCCGCTCACGACGCTGTTGCTGTGGACGACCACAGAGGGCGACAGAGAGCAGGCATCAGGAGCAGACATCACTATGAATTAACACTCTGAGCTAGCTAGCCCTCTTGTTCATGGTCACAATATCTGGCCTTTATTAGATAAGCTAACCATTTCTTATTGTGAGCATGTGAGGTGCTAGTCTCACTTCCCAGGGTTCACGGTTGGTGGACTACACTATGGAGGTGCCAAGTTTTACCTGTAGGCTTACCATCACCACTTCAAATGACAGTATGACTGGCAGGCTTCTTAGTTGGCTAATCAGCGTTGATTTATTGCAGCCTAAGCGGTACATCATCTCTAAGTACACTACGCAGCTCTACACCAGTAGAGTAAGCCCTGCAGGACACTGGATGTGGTCCCTAGTTCCATTAAGTACCCTGTGGTGGTCCCTGACTGCATCATGAAAAAGCATGTCTCCATATAACCTTTAAATATGGACTATGGCATATCATTCTCATGCCCCTTGGTCAACTCGCCCAAGAGGATTCCCTGAACCTACGGTATTCATTAACGCATTTTCTCATTAATCATAAAAAAGCCAGAGGCTGTCAATTTTTATCGGAAACTCTGGGTAAGTGTATGCAGGGGTTAAAGCAAAAAAAATCCCATGACTGAAACAAGTCGGTCACGGATCGATTGTCTGCGGGGCGAAGTTACCCTCCCAGTTCATGTAAAAAATTCATGACCATCTGCTTTTAAGGAAAGAGGATCATTTTGTACATTCCAATTGGAAATCAAACAAAAAAATCGAACAAATAAAAAACTGAACATAAAAATTATCCATATGACGGAGAACTTTAACCCCTGTGTATGGGAAACTACGGGAAAATGTGTGATTTTGAACTACTCTACATAGGAGGAGCACTCAGCTGTTGTATTTTCTGACTCAGTTGTACAGGTTATGTGTCTTTAAAGAGGTTACAAGCAGATACATCAGACATGGTCATATTATGGGGACAACTGCATATAAGGCATGGGTCATGGAACTGGCTGTGCCGTTTTCAGCAGACTAAAACAACAAACAACCGGAAGCTTTCGCCTCTCTCTCTCTGTCCAGCATGTTCTAGTAGCTAATGAGGAAGAAGTCTTTCTGACCCAGCCTCCCAGAGAGGCTAAGATAGAGACAGACAGAGCCCTCTGGTCTTCCTCAGAGAGATAAAGGCCAATTAGGGAACAAAGCCCAGAGGCCCAGAGGCTGCACACAAATACACTAATCACGACACATTACTATAAACCCAACACAGAGGGGTGAGACGTCTGTGAGGAGTGTGTTGACTGCTCTAGCACACACACACACAAACACACGTTATGCACACATACACCATTTATGGGTGCAGACTGCAGAGTAAAAGGAACAAACACACACCATTAGACAGGGAGGGAGAACACACACACAGACACTCTCTCTTTCATACCTCCTCCAGCCTCCTCCTCTGCTCCTTCTGCTGCTCGATGCGTTTCTGCCTCTCTGCCAGTAGTTGGCGCTTGTACTCCTCCTGCTCCCGGAGCTGCTGCTCCTGCAGGAGCTGCTGTCTGCGCAGGGCCTCCGAGCGCTCCTTGTTCTCCTGCTGCAGACGGATGAAGTCCCTACGCAGGGTTGACTCCCCTGGCTGGTTCACTATGGAGCTACAGGACAAAGAGATACGTTCGTATCGAGCACTATGGAGCTATGGTGTGTTGGCTAGTTTTTGGCATTGGTCCATGTGGGTTAGTTACCTGGGCTCCCCCTCCTGCTCCTGAGCTTCCTCCTCCTCTTCCTCACTCCCGCTGTACTCATACTCGGTCTCATCTAGAGAAGAGAGGGACGGTGAGAACATTTAAGTCGAAAAAATCTTCTGAAGAAGAGGTCTTCGAGAAGTGTGTGTGTGCATTAGTATGTCTAAGACTCACCCTTCTCCCCCCTCTTCTTCTTGGTGCGGTCGATGTGGTCTTTGAGTTGGATGCGGACCTGCCTCTCATTGGGCTGGTCCCTAATGAAGGGGTGTTTCAGCAGCTGGTCGGTGGGGGGGCGCTGGGTGTAGTTCTTCACCAGGGAGCCCTCGATGAAGCTGCAAAACTTCTTAGACCTGAGGAGAGGAGCCATTTGGTACTTTTATGAGCCTATGCTGTATCTACCAGAGGATGTCAGCTGAGCTATGAAGGAGTTTCACCAGTATCATTGTTCACAGTGGGATTGTAAAATGGTGGCTTAAATGTCTGAAATCATAACGGCAGAGATTAGTCACACACCATTTCTTTGACTTGAGTCGAGGAGGAGGGTTTCTGGGGATGAGGAAGAGAGCTCTCATTGGATGCATATCGCACAGCGCTGGAAGACCAAACACACAGGTCAGACAGAGGAAAACAAACATCATTTCAACCAGGTTCGCCCTCTGGGGAAAATAGTAGTGTCCCCTCTGGGGAAAATAGTAGTGTAAAGAAGTCCAATAGTAACAGAGTGGTTGTACTTACGAGGAGCTCCCTCAGCCATCTCTATAGCTGTGATTCCAGTGGACCACAAGTCACTCTGCAGGAGAAAACACACTATGAGAGATATGGACACAGCTACCATTGTGTGTGTGTGTGTATGTGTGTGTGTGTGTGTGTGTGTGTGTGCGTGCGTGCGTAAATCTATGCATGCATACGTCTATAGGATGGTAATTACCACCCTCTCTGGTCCTGACAACATCAGCCCCAACCTGCTACTGTACTGTCCCATCAGCCTACACAGCCACATACAATGGCACAAACGCAAACAGCTATCAATCCACCAACTCGACACACCGCTGGACACTGACAGAAAGCAGCATGGTGTTTTTGAGTGCATCTTACTCTGTAGTCATAAGTGGCATCTGGGTTCTCGTCGCAGGCGATGACCTCGGGTGCCATCCAATAGGGTGTACCAATGAAGGTGTTCCTCCTGCCCACTGTCCGGTCCAACTGGGCGCTCACACCAAAGTCCACTGGAGGAGGGGAGAGTAGACCGGTCAAAACCAGTTCAAACTAGTTTAACCCCCACATATCAAACCAGCCCCATGCAGTTTAAACCAGTAATAAAGTAGTCCCAGTTCAAATCAGGCCCAGCTAAAACCAGGCCCACTTGAAACCAGTGAACTCACCAAGTTTGACCTCTGCGTTCTCAGTCAGCAGCACGTTCTGACCCTTGATGTCACGGTGGATCACATGGTGGGCGTGCAGGTGAGCCAAGCCCTGAGGAAAAACACAGTCATAACAGTCATTTATTGTTTTTTAGCCTTACTTGTGGAATAATCTCCAAAGCTCTAAAATAGGAAGAGTTGGGGCTTCTAGGGCAATTCAGGCGGCTGATTGAGGAACTTTTTACTAAAGAACGTGTTTGTTTTATATTATTGTGTTTTGCATTTCGTGTAAATTGATGTGTGTAGTGTATATTTATACAGTGGGGGAAAAAAGTATTTAGTCAGCCACCAATTGTGCAAGTTCTCCCACTTAAAAAGATGAGAGAGGCCTGTAATTTTCATCATAGGTACACGTCAACTATGACAGACAAATTGAGGAAAAAAATTCCAGAAAATCACATTGTAGGATTTTTAATGAATTTATTTGCAAATTATGGTGGAAAATAAGTATTTGGTCTCCTACAAACAAGCAAGATTTCTGGCTCTCACAGACCTGTAACTTCTTCTTTAAGAGGCTCCTCTGTCCTCCACTCGTTACCTGTATTAATGGCACTTGTTTGAACTTGTTATCAGTATAAAAGACACCTGTCCACAACCTCAAACAGTCACACTCCAAACTCCACTATGGCCAAGACCAAAGAGCTGTCAAAGGACACCAGAAACAAAATTGTAGACCTGCACCAGGCTGGGAAGACTGAATCTGCAATAGGTAAGCAGCTTGGTTTGAAGAAATCAACCGTGGGAGCAATTATTAGGAAATGGAAGACATACAAGACTCCACGCAAGATCTCACCCCGTGGGGTCAAAATGATCACAAGAACGGTGAGCAAAAATCACAGAACCACACGGGGGGACCTAGTGAATGATCTGCAGAGAGCTGGGACCAAAGTAACAAAGCCTACCATCAGTAACACACTACGCCGCCAGGGACTCAAATCCTGCAGTGCCAGACGTGTCCCCCTGCTTAAGCCAATACATGTCCAGGCCCGTCTGAAGTTTGCTAGAGTGCATTTGGATGATCCAGAAGAGGATTGGGAGAATGTCATATGGTCAGATGAATCCAAAATAGAACTTTTTGGTAAAAACTCAACTCGTCGTGTTTGGAGGACAAAGAATGCTGAGTTGCATCCAAAGAACACCATACCTACTGTGAGCATGGGGGTGGAAACATCATGCTTTGGGGCAGTTTTTCTGCAAAGGGACCAGGACGACTGATCCGTGTAAAGGAAAGAATGAATGGGGCCATGTATCGTGAGATTTTGAGTGAAAACCTCCTTCCCTCAGCAAGGGCATTGAAGATGAAACATGGCTGGGTCTTTCAGCATGACAATGATCCCAAACACACCGCCCGGGCAACGAAGGAGTTGCTTCGTAAGAAGCTTTTCAAGGTCCTGGAGTGGCCTAGCCAGTCTCCAGATCTCAACCCCATAGAACATCTTTGGAGGGAGTTGAAAGTCCGTGTTGCCCAGCGACAGCCCCAAAACATCACTGCTCTAGAGGAGATCTGCATGGAGGAATGGGCCAAAATACCAGCAACAGTGTGTGAAAACCTTGTGAAGACTTACAGAAAACGTTTGACCTGTGTCATTGCCAACAAAGGGTATATAACAAAGTATTGAGAAACTTTTGTTATTGACCAAATACTTATTTTCCACCATAATTTGCAAATAAATTCATAACAAATCCTACAATGTGATTTTCTGGATTCTTTTTCCCTCATTTTGTCTGTCATAGTTGACGTGTACCTATGATGAAAATTACAGGCCTCTCTCATCTTTTTAAGTGGGAGAACTTGCACAATTGGTGGCTGACTAAATACTTTTTTTCCCCCACTGTATGTATTGATGTGTATGTTTGATAGAGGGCTCATCTGTAAAAGACCTTGGTCTCATCTGTAAAAGACCTTGGTCTCAGCATGACTCCCTGTCAAAATAAAGGTTAAATAAACAAATAAAAAGAAGCTACAGATCCCAGCATAACACAGCAGGGGGAACTTGTAGGGCGTAAATGTGAACTCACCCTGAGGATCTCACGAGAGATGTAGGCGATCCAGTCCTCCTTCAGTGTGTTGCCCTTCGTGTTCTTCACCAGGTCTGTGATGGAGCCTGCACCACAGAATTCCATCACCAGCTAGAGGAGAGGAGAGGAGAGGAGAGGAGAGGAGAGTAATGTACATACACAAACAAAACACACTATGCAGCCATTATTATTAACAGCGTAGATGTGAAAGATTAGTCACAGCTGTGAAAACACTAGACCGAGTACTTGAGTCTTTAGTGGGAGAACCCCTCACTCTCCTTCCTTCTCTCTCCCTCTCTCTTTCTAAGAGAACTATAGATGGATGGCAATAAACCGGGAGTAACCCTGGCCTAGCAAAATATATAGCAAGATAAATCCCTCCCTCCCCTACTTCATCCCTCCTCCTCTCGCCTCTCTAGTCTCTTGATGCACCTCCACCTCTGAGAGACAAAAAGCCCCAGAGTTTGACAGGGGCCATCAAAGAAGGGAGGTGAGGAAGGGGGAGTTCAAACTTCACCCTACCTTTAGAGGATTGGAGGAGAGAAGGAAGGGTGGTTTGTGGAGGGTATGCATCAGTGGAGTCTGCTGAGGGGAGGACGGTTCATAATAATGGCTGGAATGAAGCCTTAAGAATGGCGTCAAACACATGGAAACCCTGCGTTTGATGTATTTGATACCATTCCACCAATTCCGCTCCAGCCATTGCCACGAGCCCATCCTCCCCAATTAAAGGTGCCACCAACCTCCTGTGGTATGCATGTACCCACTACCCACTCACTCGAGGAGGATATGGGTGGGTTGGAGTTAGGTTGGAGCCAGCTATGGTACCCATCTTTGTCATAATGACTAACGTTTGTAGGTGGGGTATTTGGGGCTGCAGGGGTTAAAGCAACAAAAAAATCCCATGACAAACTTAAGTCGATATCAGATCGGCGGGAAAACTTTATACCACAGTTACCAAAGAAAACAATACTAAAGCACACAATTACCAGTAGAAAAAAAACAAAAACATTTATATTTTCATTTTTATAAAGATATACCTTCTCATATTTTGGTTGCTAGAGACGTGACCCAGTCGTTCGTTAGATTGGTTCGATATTTATGGATGCGATTCAGTTGTTTGTTCTACATGTTCCGTTGCCATGCTTGCTGGCAATGCTCTTGTCCCTTGCTTGCTAGCGAGCCAACTAGCTATGGCTAACACAGTCACGACCTCTGCAGCCAGAATAACAGCAAAGTAGCTGCATCTGTGTTTGTTTAAGTTGTTTTCTATTTCACTATTTTGCTCCAATTAAGGAAGGGGTGGTGGGGTTGGAAAGTCATAAAGTGAAATATATATTTTTTAAAGGATATATATATATATATATATATGAGAAAAAAAACATGGGGGATTGGAAGTGATGCAGACAATTACATTGATGGAAGTTACAATCTATCTGCAATATTGAAGCTGATCTACCCCCTAAATAAAAGTTGTTTTCTATTTACATTCATTTGGATACATCCATAACAATGAGCTGATGATGCCCGATTTTGCCTGGCATAGCTAGAAAAGTTTGCCTTCTCGTCAGGACACTCGGACACTGTTCATTACGAGGAGATTGCATTGCATATCAAACACTAGGCTAGAAGCTAGCTAAATAGTTTGTTGCTAGCAAACCTGCCAATATTACAACCAAATTAAAAAATACCAGTTGTTGAAAACAGCTGGTCAAACTAGAAACATGTGGGAGGATTTGACAGTATAGCGCCACTTGCGTCATGACTGCAACATAAGGACCAGAGACATTCATGTTCATCAATCACCACGTTAGGTCATCAGATGGTCCCAAAAAATATGTCTCTGTAAAAACAAAGCAATGCTAGCTGGCTAGCTACACTATATATACAAAAGTATGTGGACACCCCTTCAAATTAGTGTATTAGGTTATTTCAGCCACACCCGTTGCTGACAGGTGTAAACAATTTGAGCACACAGCCATGCAATCTTCATAGATAAACATTGGCAGTAGAATTGCCTTACTGAAGAGCTCAGTGACTTTCAACGTGGCACCGTCATAGGATGCCACCTTCCAACAAGTAGTTCGTCAAATTTCTGCCCTGCTAGAGTTGCCCCCGTCAACTGTAAGTGCTGTTATTGTGAAGTGGAAACGTCTAGGAGCAACAACGGCTCAGCCGCGAAGTGGTAGGCCACACAAGCTCACAGAATGGGACTGCCGAGTGCTGAAGCGCGTATATATCGTCTGTACTCGGTTGCAACACTCACTACGGCGTTCCAAACTGCCTCTGGAAGCAACGTCAGCACAATAACTGTTCATCGGGAGCTTCATGAAATGGGTTTCCATGACCGAGCATCCGCACACAAGCATGCACAATGCCAAGCATCGGCTGGAGTGGTGTAAAGCTCGCCGCCATTGGACTCTGGAGCAGTGGAAATGCGTTCTCTGGAGTGATGAATCACGCTTCACCATCTGCCAGTCCGACTGACAAATCTGGGTTTCATGGATGCCAGGAGAACGCTACCTGCCCCAATGCATAGTGCCAACTGTAAAGTTTGGTGGAGGAGGAATAATGGTCTGGGGATGTTTTTCATGGTTCGGGCTAGGCCCCTTAGTTCCAGTGAAGGGAAATCTCAACGCTACAGCATACAATGCCATTCTAGACAATTCTGTGCTTCCAACTTTGTGGCAACAGTTTGGGGAAGGCCCTTTCCTGTTTCAGCATGACAATGTCCCTGTGCACAAAGTGAAGTCCATACAGAAAAGGTTTGTCGATATTGGTGTGGAAGAACTTGACTGGCCTGCACAGAGCCCTGACCTCAACCCCATCGAACAACTTTGGGATGAATTGGAACGCTGACTGCGAGCCAGGCCTAATCGCCCAACATCAGTGAACAAACTCACGAATGCTCGTGGCTGAATGGAAGCAAGTCCACGGAGCAATGTTCCAACATCTAGTGGAAAGCCTTCCCAGAAGAGTGGAGGCTGTTATAGCAGCAAAGGGGGGACCAACTCCATATTAATGCTCATGATTTTGGAAAGATGTTCGACGAGCAGGTGTCCACATAATTTTGGTTGTTTATCTAGCTACATTTTTACTTGTTGGACCTGCGTTTATAATTTTTCCAATTTCGGTTTGTGTGGTTGTTGGTTTAGCTTTCTGTGACTTTGTAGCAAGCATGGTCTGCATGTGTAGGCGCATATTGCGTCATGATTGCAAGGTGTCCCGATGTCTTTTCCCAACTGTCCCGATATCTTTTGCAACTGTCCTGTTATCTGGTGTTAATATCCATTCTAGAATGCCCTTCCAGCCAATCAGAAATGAGTATCAACAATGTGGTATATATATATATATATATATATATATATATATATATATATATATATATATATATATATATATATATATATATATATATAATTTCTACATACTTTCTACCTAGTTTTAGACGTTCAAGTGTGGCCTGGAGTGTGTTTTTTACTCCAACCTCTTGCGTCATCCATATGATGTAAATCTGTCGCAGTGACGGAGAACTTTAACATTTAACACTGGGGCTGAGGGAAAGCGGGAGGTAAACCAACTTACCCATAGCTGGTCGTCGTGTCCTGGGGGGCTCTTCTTGATGAAGGCTCCGTAGTAGGTGGCTATATTTCTGTGGTGGGAGTACTTCTTCAGCATATTAATCTCCAATTTAATCTCCTCCTCTTCATCCTATAGAGAGCGCGAGAGAGACCATTACATTTAGTTAATGGCTCCCAGATTACCTGATAACAGTTTCATCTGGGAGCCCCCAAGATAAACAAACAACCAACCACACGTCACACACACACTTCCTAGCAAGCTATTTGTTTTGTTTATGATGGCCTATGAGATGACACTCCATGGTTGTTTATCACTCTTGGCATCCTTCAGACAGTAGGTTTATTGTAATCATGACAACAACAACAATAACAGAACAGGCTGGTATATACTCAACCACATTATGAGCCTAGTAAATACCACAATTTATTGACTTTCAGTCTAACCGAGACTGTTGAAGAGCATGGCAGTGAAAACCGCACATTCTATATCGTACAATATAATGGAGCCTAATAAACCAATCATTTCACACACACATGCAGTGTGTAGGATTCACTCATAAACCATGTCAGGCATCCATTCGATGATAAAACATCGATTCAGTGTCACTTTTTACAATACTCCCTCAACATGTGGTCTTCCTGTTGGTGGAATGACGTGACATTTTCCCTGCCTGGTTTTATCATTCAGAGATGTGTATTTCAGAGAGGGGGGTGGAGAGAGAAGAGCTGACAGACAGAAGCGGGTGGGGGTCTGGGTTACAGCTGCTCAGGCAAGGAGATATGACATAATCTCTCTCCTCTCTCTCACCTTCACATCAGTCTGCACTCTCCATAACCTCATCTCTCATCACCCCATCTTCTCTCACTCGGTCCTTCGTATCCCCCACTTTCCTCATTGTCCGGATGCTATTATCATCATTCTAACTCATGAAATGGTGGGAGAAGGTGGTGGCAGCCATCTTACAGATAGTATCACACAATTGAACAAATAAGGGTGATGGGCAACCCTTTTTTAACTGGGTGCAGAGAGTGATGCAACACCTCCCACCACCATTTTCTCACTTTCTACACAGAGAGAGAGGGAGCACGAGAGAGAGAGCGAGCAAGAGAGAGAGTGGAAAGATGGAGAGGCTCTGTCTGTATCTGGGCCTTTCCTAAGAAGTTCTGACTTCTATTGAATCACAGTGAATGATAGCCTCCAACAGCAGCCTTTCTGCTAGGTTAGGGGAGCAGGCCTCCAGATACTACAGTCCTCTGCTCTGCCGCAAGTAGACCTAATGTGATTAGAAGTTATAGTGAGACACAGAGGCAGGAGAGAAAGAGCAAGAGAGGAAGGGAGAGAGGAGAGATGGGTAGTGATGAGAAAGAGAGCAAGACAGAAGGTGGGAGGGAAACGACCAAGAGAAAAGGGCAGCGATAGGAAGAGAGAGAGGGAGAGAAAGATGGACAGAAGAGCGAGGCAGTGGGCAGGAGAGGTGAAGAGAGCCAAGCGGCTGAGCGCCTTAAACCCCTCCCATAATCCCACTGCACTTCAGCTGAACCTTCTGAGAGGAGGAAAGAAAAACAAACTCTCCCTCCCTATCTCCCCCCCTCCCCCTCCCCCTTCCTTCTCTCCCCCCTCTCCCTCTCCCACTCCCCATCTCCCCCACTCCCCCTCTCTCCCCCACTCCCCATCTCCCTCTCCGTGCTGTATGTAGAACAGGATGTGGTATCTGGGTCAGGGCACATATGCTGAGATGAGCCTGTAGAGTAAAGTGAAGCTAGAAGTATACTGGAGCTGTCTCTACATCTACTGTAATATGTTCTATACAGGAACACACAGAACACATGAACACGGTAGGGAGCTTGGCCAGAAGTACTAGGCTGACAATACAAGGACATGTTTCCATCCTAGGCATAGACCCTATAACTGGTGTGCACCACCACTACACACCTCAATGATGCTACCTGGCTCTGTTTCCTTCAAGTAGCAGGCTACAACACAGTTCAACAAAATATACCGAAAATACCTCAAGTAATACCTCACAAACAGAAGTTTTCTGCTAACCAGGAGTTACTGGATGGCACATATCATATGTCCTATTGGTTCACTAGCATATCTACCCCCTGCAGGACAACCAGAGAAGAGCAACATTTTCAAAAATAAACAATCTACTCCAACCCAACTAACTCTCGCTCCTGGCAAACACCAAAACCTCAACTGAAATTTTTATATTACAAAACGGCTTTCAAAAACCCTCCTCTCAGAAAAGAGCTGTTGTGTGTAGATGACCAGTAGGACTGTATAGCCACCCGCCAATACTCTCATTCTCTGTGCTCCTACTGACTATCCATCCTTCTCCCTGTCCTAATCGCTATTCCATATTTTCTTTAGTCTCTATTTTGCAATGGTGACATGAGAAATGAAAGGATTGTGCTCGGATGTCTTTTCAAATCAATTATTAGAGACAGGGTAGGAAGATGCTTTGTCATGGAGACAAATACGGTCTGTAACATTTGCCTAGTGACAATAGCCTGTGTCTGTCTTTCTGTTCAGGCACCATAAGGGACACCTTTAAGGCAAATGGGTGGAGGCAGACACTTAGTACACACACACACACACACACCACCTGAATGCAGGCTGACTTCACAGGACATGACAGGGGGTCCGTAGAGGCTGTGTGCAACCCTCCTCCAGAGTATCTGAACACGCAGTCACTAACAAAACACCAGAGCTCTCAGCACTCTGCCTAATGCTGCCCTGGGCTACATAAGACCACCTCCATCCAGCTCCAAACACAAACTCAGCTTTCTAGCATGAAGAGGAAAAACACAGAGGTTGAAGCCCTACATTCATATAAGCCTGATATTATGGCTATTTTAGGAGGGAAAATATTGACTAGGGGAATTGGGGAAAGGAGAGAGAGCAGGGGGTGCTGGATGTTTATCTTGGCGACTGCTGCTATCCTGCTACAGTATTTTGGTTCAAATTAAAGACATTCTGTAGGGCCTCAGATGCAATAAAACTCAACTTGGGATATGTCCCAAATCTACATGGGCTAGAATGTGGTTATAGAGTATTTATTATCAAGCATAGCTGGATCGTTGAGTCAAGTACTAAAGATCTAATCTGTGATCCAGATTTTTACTTGATTTGATTTGGTCTTGACATGAGGCCTGACATCGGATGTAATTTGTGTATCTACTGGTTTGGGTCTTAAAAAGGAAATGTCTCTCTGAGGAGCCTATTGGAGGGAATATAAAGTCTAGAATGAGTCCAAGGAAGGATGAGATAGTGATGTCATAAATCACCAGATTATTCAGGAAGTAGTATATCAACACTGGGAACCAAAATGGAACTCTTAATGAATGGAAGTTAATGTGTGGGAGCAATAGGACAACCAAGTAAAGCTATGGCGACTGCCAAGTAAAACTGTCAGTCAAACCAGCTCTCTGTTAAATCACACACAAACCTCTCCCAATCGAGCACCAGCTTACCTCTGTGACGTCCATGACCTTGATGGCCGCCAGTTGTCCTGTCTTGACATGTCGGCCCTGCAGAGAGAAAAAGGGATGAGTTAATGACGTAATTTCAGCCCTGACATGCAAAGTATCCATGTGACGTAGTTTCAGTCAGAAATAACTTGAGTGCTTGATCCCAGACTAAGTACTGGTGATTCCTTGATTCCTAACCATGAGTTAATACTCATGGAAACACCAGACATTAGATACCTAAGCAACAACCCTGTCCATATCATCAGCGCCATGCTTTTCTCTTTTCAGCTGAAACACCAGTCTTTAGTTACCTCAGAATGTGAATGACTCTAACCACTGCAGACTTCAATGACATCATATTTTCTGTTAACAGAGGAAGTAGCAGAATAGAGGAGGAGGGGACCACTCTGCAGTGAAACTGCCAGACAGAGAGAGGGTCAGTGAAGGTTAGGGGAATAACACTGCTGCAGGATTGGGTTTCCTTTGTCTGAACCGGCAACATCTGAGCTGGACCTGACCCCTCCTCTGGCTGTCTAAGATGGAAGAGTCTGGGCGCTGAGTGATGAGGGATTAACCCACTTTGGCTCGGCGGGGGAGGGGGTAATGAGGGAGTCACAGGCTTTGTTGGTCTGAGTGGAAGCAGACTAGAAGGATGACTAGTACAAAGAAAGAAGTGGGTTCACAACCTTGCATTAAAACATTGCATTTTCTACTGCTTAAAAATCATAATCACAGTAAGCTAGTTGTAAGAGAGGGAGATAGAGAGATAAGAAACAGAGAATCCCAGAGTCATGACAGCTCAGTTGTATGGGCCATATGTCAGTGCTGAGTTTGGGAGTCTGTCTCACAGTGCTAGTCCTTCTCCCAGAATGCTTTAGTCTCCTCAGTGCCCTGCTTGGAGCAATCACCATGACAACCTGTCCTACCAAGGCTTTTAACAGAGAGGGAGGAGAGAAGGCTGAAGGAGAGGAGTGACAGGTCTAGTGAGTGTGTGTGTGTCTGAGTGTGTCCATCCTCAGGGCTTGGCAACCCTGCCTGAGTCGCACAAGACAGGACACAGATTTAAAAGCTGTGCTGAGAGAGGACTCTGACAAAGACACCCCACCGAGGGCAGGGATCTCAGCCAGGCAGCAGCAACACAAGACCTCCCAGCAACCAGACAGCTACCATACAGACTGCATCACACCATCCGTGGGCTGCCCAGGGATATGCCAGTCCAGAAAGGACCCATAAATGAACCACACACTCCCTATCAAACAGAACTGGACTAACTATTTCTCTGTTTAATGACAGGCAGTGTGTTGGGCAGCTGTGGTCCTGAGGGGTCCTGTCTGGGAGAGGGGGTAATCTAATCTGGAGATCTGTCTTATGACTGTGGGGATTAAAGAATGTCTCACCAGTCCACATTCACACAAACACACATAGGTACAACACAAAGAGCAGCCTGTAAGCATAACAGAAAAAGTCCCATCACTGTTACAAAAAAGTATCCCCTGCTGATTTTGTACATTTGCCCACTGACAAAGAAATGATCAGTCTATCATTTTAATGGTAGGTTTATTTGAACAGTGAGAGACAGAATAACAACAAAAAAATCAAGAAAAACGCATGTCAAAAATGTTATAAATTGATTTGCATTTTAATGAGGGAAATAAGTATTTGACCCCCTCTCAATCAGAAAGATTTCTGGCTCCCAGGTGTCTTTTATACAGGTAATGAGCTGAGATTAGGAGCACACTCTTAAAGGGAGTGCTCCTAATCTCAGTTTATTACCTGTATAAAAGACACCTGTCCACAGAAGCAATCAATCAATCAGATTCCAAACTCTCCACCATGGCCAAGAACGGTGAGGAATCAGCCCAGAACTACACGGGAGGATCTTGTCAATGATCTCAAGGCAGCTGGGACCATAGTCACCAAGAAAACAATTGGTAACACACTACGCCGTGAAGGACTGAAATCCTGCAGCGCCAGCAAGGTCCCCCTGCTCAAGAAAGCACATATACAGGCCCGTCTGAAGTTTGTCAATGAACATCTGAATGATTCAGAGGAGAACTGGGTGAAAGTGTTGTGGTCAGATGAGACCAAAATCGAGCTCTTTGGCATCAACTCAACTCGCCGTGTTTGGAGGAGGAGGAATGCTGCCTATGACCCCAAGAACTCCATCCCCACCGTCAAACATGGAGGTGGAAACATTATGCTTTGGGGGTGTTTTTCTGCTAAGGGGACAGGACAACTTCACCGCATCAAAGGGACGATGGATGGGGCCATGTACTGTCAAATCTTGGGTGAGAACCTCCTTCCCTCAGCCAGGGCATTGAAAATGGGTCGTGGATGGGTATTCCATCATGACAATGACCCAAAACACACGGCCAAGGCAACAAAGGAGTGGCTCAAGAAGAAGCACATTAAGGTCCTGGAGTGGCCTAGCCAGTCTTCAGACCTTAATCCCATAGAAAATCTGTGGAGGGAGCTGAAGGTTCGAGTTGCCAAACGTCAGGCTCAAAACCTTAATGACTTGGAGAAGATCTGCAAAGAGGAGTGGGACAAAATCCCTCCTGAGATGTGTGCAAACCTGGTGGCCAACTACAAGAAACGTCTGACCTCTGTGATTGCCAACAAGGGTTTTGCCACCAAGTACTAAGTCATGTTTTGCAGAGGGGTCAAATACTTATTTCCCTCATTAAAATGCAAATCAATTTATAACATTTTTGACATGCGTTTTCTGGATTTTGTTGTTATTCTGTCTCTCACTGTTCAAATAAACCTACCATTAAAAGTATAGACTGATCATGTCTTTGTCAGTGGGCAAACGTACAAAATCAGCAGGGGATCAAATACTTTTTTCCCTCACTGTACCAACACCTACATAAAACTAAATTGCAGGGTTATAATTCCTATACTGTTCATGTATTGAATTGGTCTTTCGATAATGGTGCAGAATGGTCATCTAACAGCGGCGTTATTACCCAGCTATGTTTTTACCTTAATAAGACCATTAGTGTGAGAAGGTTTGGCTGAAGTCCAGTAAATGGCTTCTATCATTGAGGCCACTCCAGTCACGAGTCTCTCTTAACTCCTAACAGTGTGCTGTGAGGCTTTCAGTGGACTGTAAAGGACTAATTTGGCTCCTGTGTGTGTGTGTATGTTTGTGTGTGTAATGGATGACTCAGCTAAGCTGGTATAATGGCCACAAATGCTTGAGGAAGATGGATGCTGCCGTTACATGGAAGCTGATGCAGGTCGACCACTGGGGTCCTTCACTGAGTGAACACTATGTACTCAGACACAAACACACACACACACACACACACACACACACACACACACACACAATACATACAACCAGTCAAAAGTTTGGACACACCTACTCATTCAAGGGTTTTTCTTTATTTGTACTATTTTCTACATTGTACAATAGTAGTGAAGACATCAAAACTATGAAATTACACATATGGAATCATATAGTATCCAAAAAAGTGTTAAACAAATCAAAATATATTTTATATTTGAGATTCTTCAAAGTAGCCACCTTTGCCTTGATGACAACTTTGCACACTATTAGCATTCTCTCAACCAGCTTCATGAGGTACTCACCTGGAATGCATTTCAATTAACAGGTGTGCCTTCTTAAAAGTTAATTTGTGGAATTTATTTCCTTCTAATGCGTTTGAGCCAATCAGTTGTGTTGTGACAAGGTAGGGGGGGTATACAGAAGATAGCCCTATTTGGTAAAAGACCAAGTCCATATTATGGCAAGAACAGCTCAAATAAGCAAAGAGAAACGACAGTCCATCATTACTATAAGACATGAAGGTCAGTCAATACGGAACATTAAGAACTTCGAACGTTTCTTCAAGTGCAGTTACAAAAACCCTCAAGCGCTATGAAGAAACTGGCTCTCATGAGGACCGCCACAGGAAAGGAAGACCCAGACTTACCTCTGCTGCAGAAGATAAGTTCATTAGAGTTACCAGCCTCAGAAATTGCAGCCCAAATAAATGCTTCACAGAGTTCAAGTAACAGACACATCTCAACGTCAACTGTCCAGAGGAGACTGCGTGAATCAGACCTTCATGGTCGAATTGCTGCAAAGAAACTACTACTAAAGGACACAAATAAGAAGAAGAGACTTGCTTTGGCCAAGAAACACGAGCAATGGACATTAGACCGGTGGAAATTTGTCCTTTGGTCTGGAGTCCAAATTGTAGATTTTTGGTTCCAACCGCAGTGTCTTTTTGAGACGCAGTGTGGGTGAATGGATTATCTCCGCATGTGTAGTTCCCACCATGAAGCATGGAGGAGGAGGTATTATGGTGTGGGGGTGCTTTGCTGGTGACACTGTCTGTGATTTATTTAGAATTCAAGGCACACTTAACCAGCATGGCTACCACAGCATTCTGCAGTGATACGCCATCCCATCTGGTTTGGGCTTAGTGGGACTATCATTTGTTTTTCAACAGGACAATGACCCAACACACCTCCAGGCTGTGTAAGGGCTATTTGACCAAGAAGGAGAGTGATGGCATGCTGCATCAGATGACCTGGCCTCCACAATCCTCCGACCTCAGCCCAATTGAGATGGTTTGGGATGAGTTGGACCGCAGAGTGAAGGAAAAGCAGCCAACAAGTGCTCAAAATATGTGGGAACTCCTTCAAGACTGTTGAAAAAGCATTCCAGGTGAAGCTGGTTGAAAGAATGCCAAGAGTGTGCAAAGCTGTCATCAAGGTAAAGGGTGGCTACTTTGAAGAATCTCAAATATAAAATATATTTTGATTTAACACTTTTTTGGTTACTACATGATTCCATATGTATTATTTCATAGTTTTGATGTCTTTACTATTATTCTGCAATATAGAAAATAGTAAAAATAAAGAAAAACCCTTGAATGAGTAGGTGTGTCCAAACTTTTGACTTGTACTGTACATACATACATACATACATACATACATACATACATACATACAGTTGAAGTTTACATATACTTAGGTTGGAGTCATTAAAACTCGTTTTTCAACCACTCCACAAATGTCTTGTTAACAAACTATAGTTTTGGCAA